AGGACTCGGGACCTATGCAGTGCTCAGTGATCCCAAGTAAAATATTCTCTTTGTACCTCGGAGAGAGGAAAAACCTCCATATGCAAACTTAGACCATTTTAAACATTAAATTTGACGACCACCCAACGACTGTGTGAATAAAAACAAGAAAAAAAGACTTGTTGATGATCTAATGGCGTTATCAGAGAGACAGGGGATGTTATGTTTATTTTACTCAATAAGTAGGCAGGTAAACATGCCTTTTGGCAATAATCTAACAAATAGGTGTCAGCGGCTATGATTTAGTAGTTTTCATTAAGCGGCCCGCCTATCGCAGGCTCCACACAGCGACGTGATTCTAAGGCGGTGTTAGGAGGTCAGTTACATAACACTGTGATGCGCAGTAGATATGTTACAGCTGACAATGTCATGGCCGTGATAGGTGCCCAGTTTGTATCAGCTTCTTATTTCACTCCCCTTCCTTTGATGTCAACGGCCATACAGTCTCGGCTCTCTTCAAACGATATAGAATGTACATGTAAAATATTTGAAGAAGAACAACGTATCTATGCGTTTGACTTCTTGACTAATGCATGCCAAGGAATGTGATTTTCTTGAGAAGTTTATCAGACAAGTTATCAGGGGATGTGTGCAGTCGAGTAGCTGTATGAAACACTTGTATTCCCATCTGTTACATCTTTCTGTTAAGTCGGGGCAATGTAGACATTTCAAAAAGTCGGAAAATACATGCTCCGTAACAGGCGAATATACTGAACAGCTGTATAAGATGTGGACTAAAATCTAGTCTGTGAGATGAACATATCTTACACAAAAACGCCGGTGTCAAATTATAGTAATAAAATATAATAAAAACGAGCATAGAGACTTTCTTCATTTTCAGATACTGCAGTAATTTAGACTTGCCAGATATTTAGACTTGCATGGGCTGTATTGGATACATTTGTTTCAGGGTCTGTATGACTATAGCAGTTGTTGACTGGGGTGTTGATGTGCAACAAAAGTGAGACCGTAATATCAGACACATTCACCGCACATAAACACAGACAAACACACAGACACATTCACCGCACATACACACACATACAAACACACAGACACAGACGCACATTCACCGCACATACACACACATATGCACACTCACACACACACACACACACACACAAACACACAAACACAGACGCACACAAACACAGACAGACACACAGACACACACAGACTCACACAAACACAGACAGACACACAAACACACACACACTGGGGTTGGGTGGTGGTGGGGTGTGTGGAATCACTCAATATACAGTGTTGCCATAAGGTCCCTTACTATTTTTCAACACAATTGCATAGATGTAAATGTTATCAACGTTAATGTCGAGTACTGTGAATTCCGATTAATCCGGAACATCCCTTACGTTTTTGACGTTAATATATGCGCAAAGTGGCGTTACTGCGTACCCGCGTTTGTCCGGAAAGGTCTGGACGACTTGGACGATTTAGTGACATTACAGTCCAAATTAATGAGGTTTCACTGTATACTTGATTCGCGTTATACCGACAGACAATCTAAAACGTCAACGCCAGAGAATAAACAGTCTTGATTATCTGAAGAAACAAATACTATTGGACGAAAAATTGAAAATTAAATTGAAAATTAAATTGAAAACCAGTATTGACATCAACACGGGCCTCATCCGCCAAGACTCTCAAAAAGTTATAAGCATGGGTTCTGCTTTTAATGTTTGTTTAATTTACTCAAGTTTACTAAATATGTTTATCTCGTTCCTTTGATGATGAAATGCGGCTCTTTAATATGCTAAGTGTCTAGTTTTCGTTCATCCTATCGTATGCCATATTGCCTTCTTGCTGCCCAGATCCGTATCGCATCCACGTCAAAGAATATCTTTACAAACTTAGTTTCCATAAACTGTTTTATTCAGGTTCTCTGTAATAAATATGAAAGTAGTTAAAAGCGAAATGTTATCTATGACATGATCTCTCCCTGTGTGCAAAGATAAAGGTGTTTACTGTGGGAAGCTTGCGTGTAACAAGGGATCCCGCCGTTCTTCCGCCATGTTTGTTTGTAATTAACGCCATTGAGGTTCGCATTCGGACTAGTCACATCTTGAGGCTGACTGTAAACGCTCCCCAGTCTGTGTCGTGAGTGATGGCTCCCTGTTGTACGTCAACCAGGTGATTTCTCCCAGACAGTTAAATGGGCCTTTTATTAGCGCCTCGCTCGTCAAGGAAATTGTGGTTACAGTGGCGATGACAGACGACGGCGAAGAACTGTGTGAATGGAGTGAACTGGCTAGATTTAGAGTTCTCTTTACTTACCTGTTAACCGTGCTAGGTCGGTACATCGTCTGTGGTATGGTTGTTGCCAAGCAGGTGCCCCCTGTCATGTCAGTACATCGTCTTGAGTGTGGCTCTTGTCAAACATGTGCCCTATCTCATGTCATTATATCGTCTTGAGTATGCTTCTTGTCAAACATGTGCCCCCTCTTATGTCATTATATCGTCTTTAGTATGCTTCTTGTCAAACATGTGCCCCCTCTTGTGTCCTTATATCGTCTAGAGTATGGCTCTTGTCAAACATGTGCCCCATCTCATGTCATTATATCGTCTAGAGTATGCTTCTTGTCAAACACGTGCCCCCTCTTATGTCATTATATCGTCTAGAGTATGCTTCTTGTCAATCATGTCCCCCCTCTCATGTCAGTATATCTTCTTGAGTATGCTTCTTGTCAAACATGTGCCCCATCTCATGTCATTATATCGTCTAGAGTATGCTACTTGTCAAACATGTGCCCCCTCTCATGTCAGTATAGCGTCTAGAGTATGCTTCTTGTCAATCATGTGCCCCCTCTTATGTCATTATATCGTCTAGAGTATGCTTCTTGTCAATCATGTGCCCCCTCTCATGTCAGTATATCGTCTTGAGTATGCTTCTTGTCAAACATGTGCCCCATCTCATGTCATTATATCGTCTAGAGTATGCTTCTTGTCAAACATGTGCCCCCTCTCATGTCAGTATAGCGTCTAGAGTATGCTTCTTGTCAAACATGTGCCCCATCTCATGTCATTATATCGTCTAGAGCATGATTCTTGTCAAACACGTGCCCCCTCTCATGTCAGTATATCGTCTTGAGTATGCTTCTTGTCAAACATGTGCCCCATCTCATGTTAGTATACCGTCTTGAGTATGCTTCTTGTCAAACATGTGCCCCTCCCATGTCAGCATATCGTCTAGAGTATGCTTCTTGTCAAACATGTGCCCCTTTCATGTCAGTATAGCGTCTAGAGTATGCTTCTTGTCAAACATGTGCCCCCTCTCATGTCAATATATCGTCTAGAGTATGCTTCTTGTCAAACATGTGCCCCTCTCATGTCAGTATATCGTCTAGAGTATGCTTCTTGTCAAACATGTGCCCCCTCTAATGTCAATATATCGTCTAGAGTATGCTTCTTGTCAAACATGTGCCCCTCTCATGTCATTATACCGTCTTGAGTATGCTTCTTGTCAAACATGTGCCCCCTCTTATGTCAATATATCGTCTAGAGTATGTTTCTTGTCAAACATGTGCCCCTCTCATGTCAGTATATCGTCTAGAGTATGCTTCTTGTCAAACATGTGCCCCCTCTCATGTCAGTATAGCGTCTAGAGTATGCTTCTTGTCGAACATGTGCCCCTCCCATGTCCTTATAGCGTCTAGAGTATGCTTCTTGTCAAACATATGCCCCCTCTCATGTCAGTATATCGTCTAGAGTATGATTCTTGTCAAACATGTGCCCCTCCCATGTCAGCATATCGTCTAGAGTATGCTTCTTGTCAAACATGTGCCCCTTTCATGTCAGTATAGCGTCTAGAGTATGCTTCTTGTCAAACATGTGCCCCCTCTCATGTCAATATATCGTCTAGAGTATGCTTCTTGTCAAACATGTGCCCCTCCCATGTCAGCATATCGTCTAGAGTATGCTTCTTGTCAAACATGTGCCCCCTCTCGTGTCAGCATATCGTCTAGAGTATGCTTCTTGTCAAACATGTGCCCCTCCCATGTCAGCATATCGTCTAGAGTATGCTTCTTGTCAAACATGTGCCCCTTTCATGTCAGTATAGCGTCTAGAGTATGCTTCTTGTCAAACATGTGCCCCCTCTCATGTCAATATATCGTCTAGAGTATGCTTCTTGTCAAACATGTGCCCCTCCCATGTCAGCATATCGTCTAGAGTATGCTTCTTGTCAAACATGTGCCCCCTCTCGTGTCAGCATATCGTCTAGAGTATGCTTCTTGTCAAACAGGTGCCCCCTCTCGTGTCAGCATATCGTCAAGAGTACACATTTTAAACTACGTTATGGTTTCACAGTGGGGTAGCGCTGTAAAACCGGCATGAAGACTAGTACAAGCACACACACACACATATATGCAAGCACGCACATATACACACTCTAGCACGCACGCACATTCACACACGAATGCACGCAGGCACACACATGTATGCACGCGCACACTCAAACACGCACATAAATTCACACACACATGCACGCACGCACACACAGACGCACATACACATTCGCGCGCACACACACACTAATACACACATATACACGCACGCACGCACGCACGCGCGCAACATTAAGCATTGTTTGAATCTCGATGTTTCATATTCCAAAATACTTGCGCAAAGTGAAAATCACAATTAAATGTAACTGACAATACTGCCTTATGAGCTAGTTCAGCTTGCGTGGGTTCGAATCCCGGTTCGCCCCTATTATGTTTCTAGGTTTGTCAGCACCATACCCGTGCTCGTGGGTTTCACCGAAGTGGTAAACGTCTGAGACCTGCAACACTTTGGGCTTTCCTCCAACATTAAGCTGACACGCCGTGATATAACTGGAATACTGTTAAAAGCGGCGTTAAACCCAACTCCCTCACTCACTCACTCACCCACTAGTTCGGCTTGCGTGACGTCCACTGTGTGAAGTCTGGTGTTCTGTGTTGCAGGCCAGGACTGTGAGAGGGGCACCCACACCTGCCACAAGGACGCAGTGTGTCTCAACTCCAGAAGATCGTACCAGTGCCGCTGTAAAACAGGTTTCTATGGAAACGGAAAGATATGTGTTGGTATGTGTTTTTTATCTGTTCAATGTTTGTTCCAATTCAAAGTTCAACTTATTCATAGAACATTATGCTATGCTTGGTGTCCCCCGCTGTGATACAGCTAGAATAATGTTAAAAACCTGTTATCATATAAATTTATATCTATAACATTATTAACATGTCCGGAATTAAGGAAGTAATCGTTAATGGATCTTGAGTATGATGATTAAATGGTTGGTGATTCTAAACAAGGACAAACCCACTGTATTAATGTGACATATTTGCTTTTGTGGATTAAAGACAGCATCATGGCGTGACCTCTGATGGGACCCAAGCAAACGGTACTGGTCGCAGGTGTCGACAAAATGATTTGTGGGTCGTTGTGGGACGTTGCTCATACAATTAATCACTGGTTTGTCTGGTCGATTATTAACAGGCCGCCGTCATATAGCGGCGTTAAACAACAAATAAACAAACAAATACAACGTCATACCATTTTATTTCTTCAGACGACGACGAGTGTGAGTTTGAGAATGGCGGCTGTGTACACTCGTGTCAGAACAGCCCTGGAAACTATTCCTGCAGCTGCCTGTCTGGGTTCGAACTCGCCAAAGATGGCCACGACTGCAAGGGTAGGTAATCTTTAAACGTACCCTGTTCTTAACATTACGTCTTTGGTAGAACTACTTTTTATAAGTCATGGTTTTACGACACAGCTTATCGTGTGGCCCAAAGGTCACGAAGGATGGCCAGGGCTGCAAGGGTATGTAATCCTTAAACGTACCCTGTTCTAAACATGACGTCCTTGGTAGAACTACTTTTTTATAAGTTATGGTTCAACGATACAACTTAGTGTGTGGCCCCAAGGTCACCAAAGATGGCCACGACAGCAAGGGTAGGTAATTTTCAAACGTACCCTGTTCTAAACATGACGTCATTAGTAGAACTACTTTTTTATAAGTTTTCGTTCAACGATACAGCTCATTGTGTGGCCCAAGGTCACCAAAGATGGTCACGACTGCATGAGTGGGCAAGTTAAAAAAATAAACCGCCTATGGTAAATGCGATCATCAACAAAATACTATGTTTGTTTGTCTTCCGTGGCAGGCGAGTGTCCTATGGGTAAATTGGTGATCCTGATTTATCATCCAAAACTGGCTCCCACAGGAGATATCGCTTGGATGAGATCAAGCGATATCTACATTGTAGATATCGCCGCAATGAAATTACATCACAATGCTTTGCAGACCATTGTGACGTCACTGGTTACCATGACGTCACAATCAAATGACATCACTAATGGCTCTGCTACTGAAGCTGTTTGCAGTACTTTTTACACTGAAGACACTGCTAATTACTGTCTACAAATTGAAAAAGTTGAAAGAATGATGTTGGATGATAAATAAAATCTCAAAAGACACTCGGGTGAGATTCTCTATGTCTTCCTAATGGACGGCGGCCCATACGTGACGTCCCAGCTGTGCCATCAGTGAATACTGAGATATGTTCACTACGTAATTAGGATTGTCATCAAATGCTTTACTGAAATACATAATAACATTTGAGTTCGTAGACAACCGAATGGGTTCAGAATGACTTGAATCATTGGTCGGACTGCTAACTGTTCAATGCATCCCCCTGCAACGGATGGTTCTGATCACCCTTTGCTGTGAACATTTAATTAAATTGTATTTGGTTCAAGCTCACAACAGAGGTAGGGCATGGTCGACCCGTGTATCAATGAAACTACTTAGCAGCCAGGATCCGCTGTCATGGGTTCGAATCCCAGATCCGCTCCGATTATGATCCTTCGTTTGACAGCACCATATCCTGTTTGTGGTGATCCTCCTCAGCGATTTGGCTGAAATGATGATTGAAGCGGCACTTGAATCCAAGTCACTTTTATGGTTGAGGACTGACTGAAATTAATACCCAATTGTTTTTCTTTGTCGGCAGACACAAACGAGTGTTTTGAGAACAAGGGTGGATGCCAGCAGCAGTGTCAGAACACGGTAGGGTCCTACCAGTGCAAGTGTCACGCCGGCTACTCGCTGGAGGAGAACGGAAGAAACTGCAAATGTATGTCAGCGTCCATATGATGGAAGTATACTCATGTGCAAAAGTAACTTGATAGTGTTGATATCTATCGTTAGACGTTAACTTTTTTTCTTTAAATGAGTTTTTTGGAATAGTGTTGTCTTGGTTACATATGTGGAAAGAACATGAAACCCAGTTTCATAATTCAGTGGGCACGGTGGCCCAGACGTCTAAGGCGCCGCAATTCGCTGTGCAGAGTTGCGTCCCACGAGAACGCCATCGAACCTATGATCTTGGGTTCGAATCCCGGTTCGTCCCGAATACGTTTCCAGTTTTGTCAGCACCATTCTCGTGCTCGTTGGTATCAACAAAGTGGTAAACGTCTGAAATCTGCATCACTTCGGGCTTTCCTCCCACATTAAGCTATCACGCCGTGATATAACTGAACTTGTTACGGCATATATATTGTCTCCGGCGACCGCGGGTACGGTCCTGAACAACCTAGAAACAAGGCGACCCAGGATTCAAACTCACGATCATATGTTTCCTGCATGTCTAAAGGAGGCAATTGCGTAAGGAATTACAGACCCCTATACTGAGCCACCCGTGCTCCGTTAAACATACTATGTGCTATGAGTATGTTCCGTGTACAGCCATGATATGTGTTATCAGTGTGTTCTGTGCAGTAGGAACATATTGTCGACAGCACCTGGGCTGCGCTCACCACTGCAAAACTACACCCCAGGCAGGCACCATCTGCGCATGTCGAGACGGATACCGGATACACAAGAATGGCAAAGATTGTGTTCGTAAGTCGCAAATATTCTTTAACTTTGAAAACGACATTTGCCTACTTCGTTAGATTAAGTCACTGATGGTAAAGTCACGTATTTGAGTGTTCCATATGTTTTCAATGTCTGACTTAAATTTAAGATATAAGTTCTCTGGACTGAAATTTTCAACGTTTTAAGTAGAAAAGGTGTATAGGCTTGAAGATGATTTTGTTCAAAGTGTTGGATTCGCAAAATGCCACTGGAACTATATTGAAGATGTAATTTTCTCGTGACCAGGGGGTTGTTTTTAAAGGACAGCACAATGTTGAACAGAAATAGAAAAAAACAATAAGAATTGTGTTGTGTAGAATTGTAATGTGATAGTCACGTGAATTAGTGAAACTAGGGAATCAGTACCAGTGGGGCCGCGATAACGTATGTGACTGAGGTGAACACGATGTGTGTGTGCCTCTGTAGTGACCGAAGTCTGTAGGTTCACTTGTCTCGATCAGACCCTTGTTGGGCACCATTTCAGAGGTCTTACAGCGTGCCACCCACCGCCAAACGAGACGTCGAGATTGATAGTCATTCTCGGAATATGTTCAAGTTTGGGGCGTATTTTAACTTCGAACTGAACAAATAATTCTCGGAATGTGTTCAAGTTAGGGGCCTATTTTAACTTCGAACTGAACAAGTAATTCTCGGAATGTGTTCAAGTTAGGGGCGTATTTTAACTTCGCACTGAACAAGTCATTCTCGGAATATGTTCAAGTAAGGGGAGTATTTTAACCTCGAACTGACCAAGTAATTCCCGGAATGTGTTCAAGTTTGGGGCGTATTTTAACTTCGAACTGAACAAGGCATTCTCGGAATGTGTTCAAATTAGGGGCGTATTTTAACTTCGAACTGAACAAGTCATTCTCGGAATGTGTTCAAGTTAGGGGCGTATTTTAACTTCGAACTGAACAAATAATTCTCGGAATGTGTTCAAGTTCGGGGAGTATTTTAACTTCGAACTCAACAAGTCATTCTCGAATGTGTTCAAGTTAGGGGCGTATTTTAACTTCGAACTGAACAAGTCATTCTCGGAATGTGTTCAAGTTTGGGGCGTATTTTAACTTCGAACTGAACAAGTCATTCTCGAATGTGTTCAAATTAGGGGCGTATTTTAACTTCGAACTGAACAAGTCATTCTCGGAATGTGTTCACGTTAGGGGCGTATTTTAACTTCGAACTGAACAAATAATTCTCGGAATGTGTTCAAGTTCGGGGAGTATTTTAACTTCGAACTGAACAAGTCATTCTCGGAATGTGTTCAAGTTAGGGGCGTATTTTAACTTCGAACTGAACAAGTCATTCTCGGAATGTGTTCAAGTTCGGGGCGTATTTTAACTTCGAACTGAACAAGGCATTCTCGGAATGTTTTCAAATTAGGGGCATATTTTAACTTCGAACTGAACAAGTCATTCTCGGAATGTGTTCAAGTTAGGGGCGTATTTTAACTTCGAACTGAACAAGTCATTCTCGGAATGTGTTCAAGTTCGGGGCGTATTTTAACTTCGAACTGAACAAGGCATTCTCGGAATGTGTTCAAGTTAGGGGCGTATTTTAACTTCGAACTGAACAAGTCATTCTCGGAATGTGTTCAAGTAAGGGGCGTATTTTAACTTCGAACTGAACAAGGCATTCTCGGAATGTGTTCAAGTTAGGGGCGTATTTTAACTTCGAACTGAACAAGGCATCGAGATAACCACACCCAATCGACATAAACATTTTGTTTCTTCAGAGACGTGCCTGGTCGGAAATGGCGGGTGCCAGCACAAGTGTCAAGATACCCCCGATGGCCCCGTGTGTGCCTGTGCTGCCAAATACGTCTTAAGGGAAGACCAGAAGACCTGCATCGGTAGGTTCCATGTTCTCTAGCTTACTGCTTCAAGGTCTGTGTGGGAGAGATGTATATACTATGTATACACGGCTTTACCGCCGGGAATCTTTGTATAACAGGAAGTTCCCTTGCCAACGGCGAAGCATTCGAGTCTAAATTATTATGTTTATCCCGTTACATTTCGTCTCTGAAACACTAATTGTTGTAGACCATGCCTCAAAAAGTGTTATATACTCAGTAAAATGGTTCTTAGCAACAAAATAAGTCCGTGAATGCAGTGTCAGCATACATGCATTTACTGCACTGCCAAATAAGGTAGATACGAAATTCAATAACAAAACAAATTGTACACTGTGTATCCCTTCCCTTTTTTCTTGCTTAAGGGATATAAACACTTTAAAAAAAAGAAGTTTGTATTACTGATATATGAACTCCAGTGAGCCAAATTATTTTTAAAAAAGTGTTATATTTATATCTCTTTGGTTGAAAAGATTCACACTTGATTCTATGTGAGTTACAAGAGTAGGGAGGCGACAATGCTTGTCGTAAGAGGCGACTAACGGGATCGGGTGGTCAGGCTCACTGACTTGGTTGATGCATGTCATCCCATCCCAATTGCGTGGATCGATGCTCATGATGTCAATCACTGGATTCTCTGGTCCAGACTCGATTATTTACAGACCGCCGTCATATAGCTGGAATATTGCTGAGTGCGGCATTAAACAACAAACAAACAAACATGTGTAGAGTCTTTCTGTCGTAAATACCTAGACTGTATTCAGTCTTCTTCTCTTCACACGCCTGCACCGACTGTTCTGTATGCATGGGTTAGACTGGGTAGTCTTCTCTGGGGCCTAGACGCATGTCTGTTTCTCTCTACTTCTTTACTTCTGTATCTCGACAGCCTCCCCTAGAACAACCCACAGTTAATAACGTGAGAATCACACCGCTCAAAATATACATCAAATCTCGAATATGATTGTCTTTGGTACGTTTTAATAAGTGTGTTAACGCAACTGTAAAAGCAGATTCGATATGAAAGTGGAAAAGGAGACTCGATATAAAAGCAGGTGATATATGAACCTGTTAGCTGCTATTGCTTTGGGGCAGTGGTACCGGTCTGCGGGCGATCTATGACGACGTATGGGTGTTTCTCCTGCAGCGTCTTGCGGCGTTAACAACGGGGGCTGTGAGCGTAAATGTGTTGACACTGATGACGGGCCTCACTGCACGTGTCCCCGGGGCTATCAGCTGCATCAGGACGGCAGAAACTGCCTCGGTACGTCACGTCTTCCTCAACACATTGTCATCATTTCCTCCAAACAACTTATTACAATGAAATAATAGCTGACATTCTTCTCATAATAAGCTCTTTGACTTATTAAAATTATAGCTGTCATTCTTCTATGACAAACCTTTGGTTATTTAGACTCTATGACTTACACTCTTCTCTTAATAAGCGCTTTGCCTTATCAAAATTATAGCAGTCATTTTCCTTAGATAATCATTTGGTCATATCGACACAATAACAATCATTATTTTATAATTAGTTCTTTGTCTTCTCAAACAAAAGAACTGTCATTATTCAAAGATTAACACTGGTTTTATTGACACTTTAGCTTACATTCTACTCATGATAAATTCTTTGTCTTATCAAAGTAATAGCTGTCATTTATCTCAGATAAACCATGGGTTATATCGACACAGTAACCTATATTCTTCTCATAATTAATGTTTTTGTCTTTTCGAAATAATTGCTGCCATTTTTCGCAGATATATCGTGGGTAATATAAACCGAGGAGCAAAATAAACTTTATGTCTCTTTTGATTTTATCATATATTTTTTAATTTTCAATTGAAAATATTTTAAGTTAGCGATATTGTGTCCAAAAAATAAAGTGTTCTGGCGGGTAATACGCACTCAGAGAAAACTTCTGCATGGTTTTATAATTTTAAATGTAATTTGATTTAAAACTTTTAAAAATTAAATAAAACCTGTTTTGCATAATTCACAACTGCTGATGGGTACCTTAGACATCTGATGCTTTTATCGGCACAAATTTACAACATTCCAAGCATGGTAGAGGTCGTGTGGTTGCAAATTCATTTTTTACCCCAGTATTCGTTGAACCAATTTATTTTTACCAAGCCACAGATTACGTTTTACAAACCGTTGCACGAATTCGTGAAGGTTAAATAGACATAATCAAATTTCCCAACAGTTCTTTCAATTTTCAATTCCTTAAAATACAAACTCGGTATAGTTTCTTTTGCCCCTTAGTTTAAACACAATGACCTATATTCTTCTCACAATTAGTTCTTTGTCTTATCGAAATAATAGCTGTCATTTCTCATAGATAAACCGTCGGCTATATCGACACAACAACGTACATTCTTTTCATAATTAGCTCCTCTCTCTGTAAATCAATAGCTAATATAAAGTAATTATTTCTTATTCGTTAACTTGAAATGTCTTTTACAAAGGTTTTTTTTCTTGTGGAGATAACATTCAGGAACATCAAATGAGTATCATAATCCATTTTTTCCATACTTCACATCCATTTTCACGTTTGAGTCAAGCTTATTTACCATCCTCTCATATGTCACGGCTTCAAAGTTTCTTTCGTTCCAATTGTTTTTTTACGTAAAATGTAACAAACTATTTAATGACACGATCATGTCAGAGAATGTCCTCGAAGCCAAGGTCTATATATTTAGTACACGAGTTCTATGCATGCCCCCAGGAAACTGATATCGGTATTTTCTGATCGCTAACAATAGATACTCGTGACTTACCTATCCATAGCTGGCCATCTGATTGGTGAAAGCGGGCAATTCTATATATAGCTTTTTGGGATTTGTGGAACTGCGTGGATCATATGATCATATCTATTATACATTTTGCAGGACCACAGGCCTAACAATATATCTTTAACCGGTTTATGCTGTATTATTAGATAAATGCCCTGCTTATCACACGTTATTAAACATGCGATCCATAGATGCCCTTACGCTTAGTCTTTGTGGGTGAAGGTTCGTCGTCTAGCAGATCTTGTTCTTCTTCATCTCTCGCCTGTGTTGTCTTGCTTGTAGTTTAGTCTCAACTAACATTTCATTATAGTCACATTTAGTTCCTCACAGTCACATTGGACAGTCACATACCAACGTTGTTAGTTCACCCGTGTCTTATGAGCAACACGGTTCACACGTGGCAAGATATGATAAGCTAATCTTTGTTGTAATACATACTCATATTCTGTCATTTTTGTACATACAAATATTACATATTGGGACTTTTAAATTGTCACTGAAAAAAATCACCATTGTGAATGACCAGTCAATACTCCGGTTATATCGAACAATGATGTACGGAAATATCGACTAATGCGAATTTAATCCTGCCCCGTCACAGTAGAAATGTACGCCATAGTTCACGTGGTGGCGGAAATTTGATAAGACTTCTTCGAAAATGGGGGCCGTGGGGTAGCCTAGTGGTTAAAGCGTTAGCTCGTCTCGCCGAAAACCCGGGTTCGATTCCCGACATGGGTTCAATGTGTGATGCCCATTTTCTTGTCTCCCCCGCCGTGATATTGCTGGAATATTGATAAAAGCGGCGTAAAACCATACTCACTCTCTCATTTTAAATGTCCGTGTTGAAATCCTTATGTCTGGAGTTAACTGTATCTCTCAATGCCCAACTGTTGTTTGGGAAACTGTGTTTTCTCGACCTGTGTGCATGGTAAGGTATGTCGGATGTTTCAGATGTGGACGAGTGTCTGTCTAACAATGGCCAATGCAGTCATCAGTGCATCAACACCAGGGGGAGCTACGAGTGCGTGTGTCCGGCTGGGTACAAGGTCAACATTGACCAGAAGTCATGTACAGGTGATTGTTGTCTTGTGAAGTGTTCAACAACAGCTAGTTCGTTCCATAACTTTGATCGACGACAGGAATGTAATTTTATCACGGTCGTTAAGCCTGTACTGAACGTGGTCTTTAAATAAGCAAATTTACCACGGTCGTTAAGCCATGTTCAGAACGGGCTCTTTAATAAGCAAATTTTACCACGGTCGTTAAGCCTGTTCAGAACGTGGTCCCAAAGATCTCATTTGTATCTGAGGTTATTTTAATTCTTTACTCCCATATGCTATAAGAGTGACCCGATTAATCTGGAACCCCGTTAGAACGGAACCGGGTCATCCGGAACCCCGTTAGTACGGATCTGGTTAATCCAGAATAACAACATGTCATGTGGGTGCGAGTACAAGTCTCTATGGCGAATAACAACATGTCATGTGGGGGCGAATACAAGTCTCTATGTCGAATAACAACATGTCATGTGGGTGCGAATACAAGTCTGGCGAATAACAACATGTCATGTGGGGGCGAATACAAGTCTGGCGAATAACAACATGTCATGTGGGGGCGAATACAAGTCTCTATGTCGAACAACAACATGTCATGTGGGTGCGAATACAAGTCTCTATGTCGAATAACAACATGTCATGTGGGTGCGAATACAAGTCTGGCGAATAACAACATGTCATGTGGGGGCGAATACAAGTCTGGCGAATAACAACATGTCATGTGGGGGCGAATACAGTCTCTATGTCGAATAACAACATGTCATGTGGGTGCGAATACAAGTCTGGCGAACAACAACATGTCATGTGGGTGCGAATACAAGTCTCTATGTCGAATAACAACATGTCATGTGGGTGCGAATACAAGTCTGGCGAATAACAACATGTCATGTGGGTGCGAATACAAGTCTGGCGAATAACAACATGTCATGTGGGGGCGAATACAGTCTCTATGTCGAATAACAACATGTCATGTGGGTGCGAATACAAGTCTGGCGAATAACAACATGTCATGTGGGGGCGAATACAAGTCTGGCGAATAACAACATGTCATGTGGGTGCGAATACAAGTCTGACGAATAACAACATGTCATGTGGGTGCGAATACAAGTCTGGCGAATAACAACATGTCATGTGGGTGCGAGTACAAGTCTCTATGACGAATAACAACATGTCATGTGGGTGCGAATACAAGTCTGGCGAATAACAACATGTCATTTGGGGGCGAATACAAGTCTATTTCGAAAAACATGTCATGTGGGGGCGAATACAAGTCTATGCCGAATAACATGTCATGTGGGGGCGAATACAAGTCTATGACGAATGACATGTCATGCGGGGGCAAATACAAGTCTATGACGAATAACATGTCATGTTGGGGCGAATACAAGTCTATGACGAATAACATGTCTTGTGGGGGCGAATACAAGAATCTATGACGAATTACAACATGACATGTGTAAGATGTGTCAGTACACAAAACACCAAGGAGTTCAGCCCCAGAACGTCTCCCTCCTCTTGCAGACATAGACGAGTGCGCCCTCAACAATACCTGTGATCACGTTTGTGTCAACACTCCCGGCAGTTTCAAGTGCAACTGTCGCCATGGTTACCAGATGTATGGTTCCACTCACTGTGCAGGTAACTGTTTATATACCATCTGAATGATGTTCCTACATGTACTGCCATGTTGGTGGTGTATACTGCCATGTTGGTGGTGTATGATACCGTGTGGGTACTGTTTAATGCCATGTTGGTAGTGTATAATGCCATATGGGTACTGTATAATGCCATGTTGGTAGTGTATAGTGCCATGTCGGTAGTGTAGAATGCCATGTTGGTAGTGTATAGTGCCATGTCGGTAGTGTAGAATGCCATGTCGGTAGTGTATAGTGCCATGTTGGTAGTGTATAGTGCCATGTTGGTAGTGTATAATATCATGTTGGTAGTGTATAGTGCCATGTTGGTAGTGTATAATGCCATGTGGGTACTGTATGATATCATGTTGGTGGTGTATAGTGCCTTGTTGGTAGTTATGATGCCATGTTGGTGGTGTATAATGCCATGTTGGTGGTGTATAATACCGTGTGGGTACTGTTTAATCCCATGTTGGTAGTGTATACTGCCATGTTGGAAGTGTATAATGCCATGTTGGTAGTGTATAATGCCATGTCGGTAGTGTATAGTGCCATGATGGTAGTATATAGTGCCATGTCGGTAGTGTATACCGCCATCTGGATACTCTATAATGTCATGTTGGTGGTGTATAGTGTCATGTGGATACTGTATAATGCCATGTTGGTAGTGTATAATGCCATGTCGGTAGTGTATAGTGCCATGATGGTAGTATATAGTGCCATGTCGGTAGTGTATACCGCCATCTGGATACTCTATAATGTCATGTTGGTGGTGTATAGTGTCATGTGGATACTGTATAATGCCATGTTGGTAGTGTATAATGCCATGTCGGTAGTGTATAGTGCCATGTTGGTAGTGTATAGTGCCATGTCGGTAGTGTATACCGCCATCTGGATACTCTATAATGTCATGTTGGTAGTGTATAATGCCATGTGGGTACTGTATAATGCCATGTCGGTAGTGTATAGTGCCATGTCGGTAGTGTATAATGCCATGTCGGTAGTGTATAATGCCATGTTGGTAGTGTATAGTGCCATGTCGGTAGTGTATACCGCCATCTGGATACTCTATAATGTCATGTTGGTGGTGTATAATGCCATGTTGGTAGTGTATAGTGCCTTGTTGGTAGTGTATAGTGCCATGTTGGTAGTGTATAGTGCCATGTCGGTAGTGTATAGTGCCATGTTGGTAGTGTATAGTGCCTAGTTGGTAGTGTATAGTGCCATGTTGGTAGTGCATAGTGCCATGTTGGTTGTGTATAATGCCATGTTGGTAGTGTATAATGCCATGTTGGTAGTGTATAGTGCCATGTCGGTAGTGTATACCGCCATCTGGATACTCTATAATGTCATGTTGGTGGTGTATAATGCCATGTGGGTACTGTATAATGCCATGTCGGTAGTGTATAGTGCCATGTTGGTAGTGTATAGTGCCATGTCGGTAGTGTATACCGCCATCTGGATACTCTATAATGTCATGTTGGTAGTGTATAGTGCCATGTTTGTACTGTTTCAGTTTTCTTATCCCGTACAAATGACTGGATTAACATATTCGCCAGGAACATGTCTGTTGCACCTATCGTCTTGACATCGTGGACAAACGCACAGTTTTCTACCAGGCTCCAGCTGATGCTCCTTACACAGCGTGTTAAACATAACTTACAGGGTCTCCTTTATTTACAGACATTGACGAGTGCACCATCAACAACGGCGACTGCGCACATTCATGTTCGAACCGTCTTGGTGGGTATGACTGTGTCTGTCGATCCGGGTTCAAACTCCATCCGAACAAGAAAGATTGCATTGGTGAGATACATCACGCGGGTTATTTGTATTCTGTCTAGTTTGAGATTTCTCAGAATAATCATTCCTCATTACCAATTCAATATTAAAACTCTTTACGCGTGCCATTGGTAGAGTAGATCTCCAGTATCCCATACATGCCGTAGGAGACTCAGATACCTCCATCCACCCCCACCCCCTTACAGAATATATGATCGGTCCCTATATAACATCAAATGGTTATGTTCCGCCACGTGACTGATTGTGTTCGATTTATCTTTCGGATGCTTTCGGGCACTGGTTTATCTTGTCCGGACTCGACCTGTCATGTCGCCTTGATATATATGGAATATTGCGGACTGCGGCGTTAAACAACATTCACTCACTCACGTTTGTTTTCAGAGTCGTCGAAATGCATTCCGTTATCCAACCCCTCCAGGGCAACGTTGTCATGTCGCAACGTGGCCGGCGGGGAGCAACAGTGCAGTCTCGCATGCAACAGGAACGCCCGGTTTACGTCAGGTGTGGCCAACCAGATCACGTACATGTGCGGACCAAGCACCAGCTACAAGTGGAACTTTGAACGCAACAACTCCACACTCCCGTCATGCTCAGGTGGGTTCTAAAGCCAGGAAGCTTCAGAGTAATTAGGACATGACAGTGTCAGTACAGAGATGCGATAGGGTAGCCTAATTGTTAAGGTGTAAGCTCGTCAACAGAGTACAAGGTTCGATTTCACACAAGTGTAGCCTCTGTCAACAGGCTTCTCTTTCCGTTATGTGGTTGGAATATTGCTCCAAGCGGCGTAAAATCAGAGCTACTCACTCTGCTTATTACATGCTTGTCAAAAAAGGTGGTGCTGGTTATTTCAATCTCAAAAATTTCTTTTGAAAATTCCACTGTGTAACGTACCTTATGTACCACACAAATGTATAAATACATTATGTTTTTTTTTTAAAGAAGGAAGATATGGAGTAATTTTACAGTTATAAATAGTAATTTGCACTCACAACGAAATACAAATTAAAGGCATAATTACAATTGAAGGAGAGGCCATTCTCAAACACAGCACCTAGCAAAGATAGACTTTGGGTCGCCACTCTTCCCTCAGCACTACCAGCCAAGACACTCTAAATTTGCAATGCATGCAGAAGCATGAAATACTCCTGCGATCCTACTTTGCGATAGTTGTCATGTTTGTATATGAATGTGTCTAATATGACCACCACCACACCCTCTAGAGCTGACGGCACCCCCGGGATACAAGAGGAAGGCACGGTTCCTGTTTGTCACAGACAAGTGCCAGTTTAAGAGGTCCGCAACAGAGATCCTCCGGGCCAGCTTGGCCAACATTCTTAATAGTGAGTTGCATTACCTCCTCTTCATGAGTGAGTGAGTGAGTTGGGTTCAACGCCACTTTTAACAGTATAACAGTTATATTGCGGCGTGTCAGTTTATTGGGGAGGAAAGCCCGAAATGATGCAGGTCTCAGACGTTTATCACGTTTATCACGACGTTGAAACCCTCGAGCACGGGTATGGTGCTTACAAACCTAGAAACATAATCGGGGCGAACTGGGATTTGAACCCACAATCATAGGTTTCTGGCGTGCCCCAGGGGACGCAACCCTGCACAGCGAATTGCGGCGCCTTAGACGATAGGGCCACCCGTGCCCCCCCCTCATCTTCATGAATTGAAACAGGTTGTTAAAACTAAGATGACGATACGGTAACACTAGCGGTAGTTGCTCGTCGCTATAGAACGACATGTAGGATTGGGTCATACCATAGCGACAACGACACCGGTAATAGAGTCTTGGTGTCGTGCACCTATGGAGGAACAAATAAAAAGCGACACAGATTAAAGAAGGTTTCTGCTTTTTACTTAAAACAAATGCTTGCCACCCTATAATAAATTATCGTTAGTTGATAAATATGCTTAAACGACCATCACTTCCGGTGTAACAATCGCCTCCTTTGTCCTTGACCCCACAGAACAGAAGAAGTTCAAGTGCAGGAAGAAATGCCAGGTGACCTCTATAGACATCAAGTGCGGGTCCAGGCGGAGGAAGTTCTCCAGGAAGGTCCAGGGCAACGGGAAGTCTCTGGTCACGGCCGAGTTTGAACTCCTGATGAATTCCAGGAAGCCATCAGGTAGGGCGGGGTGTTACAATACGTTTCTTCTTTCTATATCAATCCGCCCGTTTAGTCAGGAAATAAGAGTGTTAGGGTGTTATGAATAAGTTTCAAGTGATTGGCTAAGCATGTCTCCATTAACCAAAAGAATTAGGCCACACACAGACTACAGTTTCCTGATTGGCTGATAATAGAATGGGCGGGGCTTGTGATGCATATTTGCGTTGAGCGATGTCACTAATTCCGTATTGTTGTCTGCAGTGTTTTTTTTGTGTTAATGATTAAATATGCAGTCTGTGAAGTTATTATTGTTGAAGTATTTATTTATAAGAATTGACTTTAATATGTTTTCCATTCATGGAATTATAATCGTAAAAAACTTTGTGCAAACTGTGTACACACGTGTTTGAAAATACATGTTGAAATCAATTCCTAATTACACAGGTTATTGATGACAGACTTTTTTGGGTGATCACTTAGCTTAGTGGTTGAAACGTTGGCTCGTCAGGTTTGTCTCATCATATCGGACTTTCGGCAACAGACGGCTACGTACCAATTTGTGTTTCTCGTTGATCATGAACACAACAGCGTCGTTGGTTAAGTCTGGGTTGGTATGTACCGTTGTTGTAGGACAGTTGTGATGATGATCATGATGTCTACACCTCATTCACTCCTTATTGACATACAGGTAGCTGTGACATTGCCTGTGTGGGAAAGCGAACCAAGAGGAAGTTGAAGAAGGCGTTCAAGACGTTGAAGAGAGCCATCAGGAAGGGGGACCTACCCATAGGGTAAGACGGCAGGGTAGGACTTTACCTGGACCGGTCACACCCAACGGTGTCTTGTCCGCCAGGTAAAAGTGGGGTTGTGGTGGAAGGGGGTGTACTACTTGTAGGGTAAGACGGCAGGCTATTGCCTTACCTGGGCGGGTCATCCCGCAAAGGTAGGTGGGACCTACCCACAGGGCGTGACTGCGGGGTAGGACGCGAGCTGGACCGGTCAAGATGACAGATTTACTGCCCTGAGTAAAGTTTAAGGTCCCCTGTTAGACCTTCTGGCATGAATAAAGGTCCGAGGTCAGGGTTGGGTCCGGCTGAGACTCTAGGTCATGACACATTATTAAGTGCAGCGTGAGACACGAAAAGTTCATGCTGAAATGTTTCATGCCATGCACCATAAGGCACTCGGTTTCGAAAGTTATCGTCTCCCTCTACTGCCCTGGTTGTCTTACACTTACATCGTATGCCCTATTAACATTTGGTCATGCATCACCTGATGGCATAAAATTATCATTTTCCACTTTACCGTATCCCGTAAAAAGTATTGGTGTGTGTGTGTTGGGGGGCATTTATTACTGCCTTTACTGAGGATAGGACCGGCACTATCAGACTCACCCGTTTGGCATTGTCATAACACCGTTGCAACAGACTACGCAATGGACACTAGGTTGTCAATGATAAATGGTGTTTTTGCGCATTCTCGCTCTCACTCCTCACACGTGACAAGGGGGCACGGGTGGCCGCGATTCGCTGTGCAGAGTTGCGTCCCTTGGGCACGCCAGAAACATATGATTGTGGATTCGAATCCCGGTTCGCCCCGATTATGTTTCTAGGTTTGTCAGCACCATACCCGTGTTCGTGGGTTTCACCGAAGTGGTAGACGTCTGAGACTTGCATCACTTCGGGTTTTCCTCCCACATTAAGCTGACACGCCATGGTATAACTGGAATACTGTTAAAAGCGGCGTTAAACCCAACTCACTCACTCACTCACGCATGACAATATTTTGTTGCAGGTTTGCAGGAACACCATTAGATATCATCAAGAAGTCGTTCAGACCTGAGAAGGCGATTCCTGCCTCCTGTAGCCCTGGCACGGTCAACGTCAATCAAGTGTGTGGTACGTCATATACCAGCGTCCTCATTCGTCATGTATTCAACCTGTCATTCCTCGAATAGTTCGAAACACGCCATGGAAAGCCCACGACAGAGAGAAAGTCAGCACTAAATACTAAACAGCCGTGCAAACGAAAGAATACGCTTAAAAAATGAATTTGACCGAAAAATTACAAAGGTTGTCACAACGTTACTTGGCTGAAAACAGTCGCCGAAACACTGCAAACCTGAGGTCCAAAACGCAACTGTGATACCTGTATCGTCACATCGAATAGCCCTATTTTGTTTGAGCACAATCTAACATGGGTGCGTACTTTCTTTTGCCAGACAGTTTACATCTGTGGTGTCGAGTCGAGTCGAGTACGCATTGTTATTGGGATCCTGCTCACGGGGAACTTATTGCGCATGACGTCATGGTCTTTTGTCTCTACTGTACCAATTTTTGATGGTGTCACGAACTATTTTCCCAACTGTGCATTGCCCATAAAGGCCGTGAACAATTGTATTGATTCCAACCATTGTTTCTGATGTCTTTGGCTATTTTGCAGCTTTGCCCATTGTTCATAGTGTCACAGACTTTTTTCTGGACTTTATATATCTACTGCTCAAGACGTCATAGACTATTTACTCGAATACAACCATTGTTCATGGAGTGATACACTATTTTCTCGACAGTACCGATTGTTCATGAGGTCAGTTTCTTGGTGTTCATTGAGCGTTCCCCTTTCCCTAGTTGGCTGCAGTATAGGGACATACTTTGACGCTGATGAGGGGGAATGCCGACCTTGTCCCGGAGGGACCTATCAGGACACGGAGGGACAGATGTCATGTAAAGACTGCCCTAACCGTAGAGTCAGTGGCGGGCGTGTCGGGGCGGCGTCAGCGACGGAATGTGCAGGTAGAGTAGAACTCACACTTCACAATTCTTGGCGGATGTAGTTCCTGCCTGGTGGAGATCGACCTCCTTGGAGTGAGTGAGTGAGTGAGTGAGTGAGTTTGGTTTAACGCCGCTTTTAACAGTATTCCAGTTATATCGCGGCGTGTCAGCTTAATGTGGGAGGAAAGCGCGAAGTGATGCAGGTCTCAGACCCTCCTTGGATGTTTGTTCGTAACAATATATCTATTTTACCGTTTACTGCTTTACGTATTTATCTCTCTGCTTTAGAAAAAGCCGAATTATCTTTTTTTACAAAAAATATATTTTCAGGACAACCAGCATGTCTAGCAAAGAATACATTTTTGTAAGCCTGAGGACAATTTTTTTTAAGAGTTTTCTTTGGGGGGAACAAAAGTATTAATCGGGATGCTTTCACTTTCACCATGGTACCGTCCGGATTGAGGAGATTTTACAGTATGAACTGACTGAAAATATGTCAAAGTCACAGGGTCTTCTAATGGGTTCAATCAAGGGTTCTTTCACTCTCTACTCATCAGAAATTTCAGAATGATATTAACAGTATATTGAAGGTGTTTTCCAATGTTAGAGTAAAGCAACATGAATATAGCACTTTAAGGGCGCTTCAAGCGAAGCATATTTCGCACTTATGTTAAATCTTATTTCCACATTTTATGAATGAGGGACGCTATTTACAATCCACTGGGGATTCCGGGCTTAAAGATTCTCCGTATCTAATCGTGTTGCAAGACCCGATTTGGGAATATGGGGTGGCCAGGCTAGGTGACTTGCTGATTCTATGGCATCGTGCCCCGATGACGTAGATCGTAGCTCATGATTACGTCAATCACTGGTTTGTCTGGTCCAGCCAATCGATTATTTACTGGAATATTGTGGCATTAAGCAACATTCACTGACGTAACTCCCTGCTCTATTTGCAGACCTGTGTGAGCCAGGCTTCTACTCCAAGAGCGGCAGTAAGCCGTGTGTCCCGTGTGCCCAGGGCTACTACCAGCCGGACTATGGCCGCACCACCTGCACCCCCTGCGGGCACGGCATGAGGACCCGGGGCCCCGCGGCGGCCGAGTTCAAGGCGTGCAGTGCCAGGGGTAACGTTGTTGTAGCTTACCATGTGTATCACCACAGGCGGATCTAAGAAGTTCTCCAGTACATTATACTTGACAATCTTATGGCAAGCCGTTTTCACATTTATTCCGGAATTACAGATATCTTTAATTGTTTTAAAGATATCTTGAAATGAATTGAATATATCTTGAATTGAATTGAAGATATCTTAAATGCAGATAATTGTAGATATCTGCAATAGAATTTAAGATATCTTCAATTGTTTTAAAGATATCTTGAAATGAATTGAAGATATCTTGAATGGAATTGTAGATATCTTGAAAAGAATTGCTGATGTCTTAAATTCGATTATTGATATCCAAATATAATTTAAAGATATCAAAATGTCATGTTTTGTTATGATGTCATTAATTCAATTCCTGATATCTTGAAACTAAATACAGATATCGATAATTAATTATTGATATCTTCAATTGTTGCCTTTATTAAAGATGTTACATTAATAATGTTACTTAAATAAGATAACTGATATCAATAGTTGATAATAATTTATAAAGATATCATCAAAAGTATTAATGATATCTTTAATTGGATGTTTGATATCAGTAACGGTCAGAATTAACGATATCTTGAATTGAATTAAAGATATCTCTAATTAAATTAAAGATATCTTTAATGCATTTGTGGATATGTATAACTTATTTCAAGATATCTTGAATTGAATTTAAGATATCTTGAATCTATTTCTAATATATTTATGTACTGTAGGATGGTTATTGTTTAATGATATCTTAAATACATTTAGAGATATCACAAACTAATTTGTTGATATCACCGTAACATTTTAAGATATCAGTAATTGTATTATAGATATCAGAAATGAATTTAAGATATCTTTAATTATTTTTTGATATCTTAAAAACATTAGTGATATCTTTAAATAAAATACCGATATCTTTAAAACAATTGAAGATATCTATAATTCTGTAAAAAATGTGAAAACGGCTTGCCATACAATCTGTCTGAAAATTTCAATACCAAGCAGATATCTATTGGTCATTGGGGCCCCAACTTTCAGAGAGCGTGGGTGGGTGATCGAGACCATGACCGACCCACTCGAATCGCCACTGTGAATCTATAGTATACCACAATTCCATTAACCAGATCATAAACAAGCAGGTCAAATACTTTCCCCTGTCTGATTATTATTTTAAGAAAAAAATTCTCGTATTTTCGAAAATATTTGGTGCCTTTGTATTTTTAGTAGGTTAACACCTTGATAGACGAACGGTAGATGTCCATATTCAGCAATATACCCTAAATAAGTTGCGACTCAGTACTCTGTGATGCAGATGCCAGCGTAAATTCCTCGCGATTTTTAAACTTCACCTGCTTTTTATTTGTTTACTTACAACAATAATGTAATGATGAACTTGGTTGATGTGTGAATATGAATAATACGTATGGTTTCGTGGTCTTTTGCATGGCGTCGCAAGCGTTACGTCCCTAACAGATAACAGGATCCGCTTTTTGTAGGTTCGACTTCCAGATTATGATCCCTGAGCCGATATGACTGAACTGTTGTTGAAAGCGGTTATAAACCGTAATGACTCACTGCTATTTGAGCAACTGGATTGATAAGATGTGTCTGTTTTCAGCGACTTGCCAGGCGGGCCACTTCTACAACGCCACCGTCCACCAGTGCCAGATCTGTCCCCGGGGATCCTACCAGCCTCGCTCTGGTCACAACTACTGCATCGCCTGCCCGGGGTCGACCACGACAGACACCCCAGGGAGCACCAGCAGCGACAACTGCAAAAGTGAGCTACCCTGTGCACTAATAGTGTTCTGTAGATTAAGATTAAAAATACTCAATGTATTTATAAAATGCTGCCACAACGTATTTGACACCACATGCTTCCTGGCCGTTCTTGGATTGTTCAAACGTTAAACCTCGCCTAACACGTTGGTCATGTGTTCGAATCTCGAATTTACCATGATTATCCTCTTTGGTCTGTCAGTACCCTAGTACATTCCCATGCCCAGGTGAGGTGAAATGGGCTTTAACGTCGCGTCAAAGATTATTGCACTTATATAGCGACATGCATGTACGTGTGTGTGTGTGGCTACTTGTACTAGTCCAGACTAATGCCGATTTATAGTGCTAGCCCACTGAGATACCATGCCGCAGTTAAACATGAATACCCCACTCAGACACAGTATACTGACTCCGAGCCGTCCAGTCCTTGTTTTTGCCTCTTAAGCGAGCGTCAGACAAGGATACAACAAGTACCATCTTTTTACGTATTTTGTAATGACGCGGCCTGGGATCGAACCCCGGACCTTCCGTTCTCCGGGCGAACGCTCTACCACTAGACCACGGAGGCGGTCCCATAGTTTTCAGCAAAGTGGTACACGTCTTCGGCTTATGTCTTTGCTCTACCGTCTGTCTTTAAACTGCCACGCGGTGATTCTAAATTAACTAAAATTCTCTTCAAATTGGCGTTTAACGTAACAAATCGGCGGATGACATTACAATAGACTTTTGGTATTGCGTATACACGCCAGTGTTGCGATCAGGTTCCAGCAAGCATTACAATTTTGCAAGTGTCCGTCACAGCCACATCAGTGACAAAATCTACGACGCTACTATATTCAATATATCTAATTGTACCCCAGGAACATAACGTAAACGACATGATTACTCTCGGTCTTATTATTGAAAGTTATATTGTCTTAGGCGTGTTAGAATTTCCTTGTATTTGTTTCTCTCTTGTTTAACTCCACACTCAGCAATATGCCAGCTATGTGACGGCGGTCTGTAATTTTGGCTCCCTCGTACAATCCCTATATTATTCCCGTATTTGCTTTGTTTAAACAAAACGACCCGTGAAGATCCCGGGGTAGAATAGTCTTCAGCAACCCATGCTTGCCGTAAAAGGCGACTATGCTTGTCGTAAAAGGCGACCAACGGGATCGCGTGGTCAGGCTCACTGACGTGGTTGATACATGTCATCGATCCCAATTGCGGGGATCGATGCTCATGATATTAATCACTGGATTGTCTGGTCCAGACTCGAATATTTACAGACCGCCGTCATATAGCTGGAATATTGCTGAGTGCGGCGTTAAACAACAAACCAACCAACAAACCAAATGTTTAAACAATCATATATTGACATATATGATATGATGAAATGCATAGACGTTTGCGTCTTTTACACGCATGGTGTTTGTGTTGGCAGACCGCCTGTGTGGGGGGTACCAGGGCCGGTACCAGGGGGTGATCGAGACTCCCAACTACCCCGGGGACTACCCTATTGACATCCGGTGCACGTGGAAGATCAAACCCGACAAGAGACGCCGCATCCTCGTCATCATTCCCGAGATCTACCTGCGCGAGGACGACAAATGCGGCGACGTCCTCGTCATGAGGAAATCTAGTAAGTTCAATCTTGCTTTTTCTTATTGTGTTTACTTTATCCCGTCTTTCGTTCATCATTTATCATGTGACACAACGTAAAGGAACTTAATGGGATCTGTAAAGTATTGACAATGTCAAAAATAGACACCCGCTTTACAATAATATCAAGTAATGGGACGATGAAAAATAATCACTCGAGGTATCTAATTTTTGATCGGCCCTGTATTGAGAATAGTGTTCATACCGCGAGAGGTATGTTTTTGACAGACCCTGTATTGTGAATGCATACTGCTTACCATCACGTTCCTGTCGATGAATCGACCCGACATTAAAAGTCTACAAACAATGATATGTTAAGGAGAGGTGGTAAGGTAAAGGTTTGACGTCGCGTCCAAGATTATTGCTCTTATATAGCGACGTGCATGCATGTGTGTGTGTGTGTGTGTGTGTGTGTGTGTGTGTCTGCTTGTACTAGTCCGGACTATACTGACCTGTCCTTGTTTTAGCCCCTGAATGCCGAGCGCCAGGCAGGGTTACAATAAGTACCATCTTTTAACAACTATTGGTATGACGCGGCCGGGAATCGAACCACCGACCTTCTGCTCTCCGGGCAGACGCTCTACCACTAGACCACGGAGGCGGTCGTAATATGTTAAGACCTAAATATCTATCTATTACCTTACCTTATGTAGACCTTTTTTTGTGGTGGAGCAGGCTACTGGTTTTCCGTTTTATGTATTTACCGATAAAATAAAGTTTATTAAGGGCACAGGTGTTTAAATCCTGACAGAGCTTATTAACATTAAGACAAAACACGATTCATAGCCCTTAATGGATATGCTGACACAACAAGCTGTTGAGAAATGTTCTAAGCTGTTCATTGCAGGGGCCGTCTATGGCCCATTGGCCCTGAAGAACTAATATGCAGTGTGCAAAATCGTAAGCTTAAACAGAGGATACATACTGATTGTTTGCTGTTGTGACAGAGTCCCCGTACAGCTTGACGACGTTCGAGACATGCAAGAGCAAGGATCAACCGATCGCCTTCACTGCTCGCTCCAAGAAGCTGTGGATTCAGTTCAAGTCGGACGGCAATAACACAGCAAGGGGTTTCTCCATACCATTTGTCACATACAACGGTTGGTATTTCCTTCAAAGCAGTGCAACATATTTCGTTATTCAGAACCGTCGATATATGGCTGAGATATGACCGTAAAACATTAACTCGTGAACACACACACAGGGTAAGTTGTCACGTTGGGTGTCTGAAAAAAGGTAAGGGTGGTGCTCCCTCTACACCCCACCCCTATCATCAGCCCGCACCTACCATCTGGATATTGTAGTGTTTTTTTAAAGAGTATTTCGTTGTTTTAAGGGGGCAATACAGTGTTAATATTTTGATGAAGCTCGTGATTATAACTATTTTCAACAAATGTTCCATCAGTTTCTGCAAATGTCCATTACTATGAGTATTGCTATCATTGTTTCAGAGGAATACCAGACCCTCATAGAAGACATCGTGCGGGACGGTCGCCTCTACAACTCCTACCAGCATCAGCAAATATTCAAGGTTGTTATACCAATGTTCTTCCAAGTAGCTTACCTCAACCTAAGGTTCTCTAAGTGTCGTACTTGTTCTCAAGGCCTTGTATGATGGCACTTTGCATTGGCGATCCAAGCTATTGCTTCACAGAATTGTAAGCCGATCTGAACGATGGTCGATGCGGCAGCCATATTAAGAAATGCAATTTGGTCAATCATATATTGACCATAATATTTACTTATCACTGTGAAATTTGATATATTCGATTTAACGCGTTTTTGTATTTTGATTTTTATCCCATTTTGACTTTGAGTGCGTGAAGTGAATGACTGTTATACGGCAGCCAGTTATTGAGCTTGTGGCTGTCGGCTCTTCCTTGGAACCACAGCCTGGGCTTTTGCCTTTCACCACCAGATAGACCAAATAATCTGACGATATTGCAATTTCTGATTTACGTGTCAAGTATCTCAGCAATGCTGTCTTCCAGAACAGAATTATTATACCCCCGAACATTAGCGAACAGTTTCCATACTATTAGAAAAGGTGCAGTGCAAAGATTTTGATATATGGATTTTCTGAGAAAACTTAGAATGTTGTTTTAATTCAAAATTTGGCGACCTATGACTTTAAATACTACTTTATGGCGTCATTTCTAAATGGGAGAACAGTTTCTATACCAATAGGTGAGGCGCAGTGCCATGTTTGATTTCAATAAGTGGATTTTATGAGAAAATATTGCTTTTTTCATATTTTGATCTTAGCATTATGTTGGAGTCGAAGTCGAGGGTATAAGTGAGTCCAGCTCACTCCAGCCTTGTATATAATTGTTTTCTGATTATAAGCATGGTCGCTGGGACTATTATATTGTGATTAAAATCTAGTTATAGTATATTTAACAGCAACAACAGTCCTCTGCAATTAACCCAACGATTCGAGGGTACGCTTTGTTCTCAACAACACACACACATACACATTTCTGAAACTACTTGATCACGGAACCTGAAAATTGTGTGTTATTGAGCCCATATAGTGCCTAAATATTTCATTCCCGACCTGATTTATTGCCGTAGCCGTATTTTGTTTCACGCCATGTGGTAATTCAGTTTTAGTGATTACACAGGTAGTAAGAAAGATGTTTTCATTGATTCAATGTTTTATATAATTTATCGGTCATATCCGGTTTTTTGAAGTCACAAATTTGATCATAAATACCCATAACTGCGGGAGAACTATATTTTCTTGAGGCTGTCTCACAAAAGGGACTATCTGGTAAAGTATAACGAATGTTGTTTAAATTGTAGTTTGTATTGAGCGGATAATTTTTAATTCATTATTGAATGATTCTAAATACGAATAGGTGAGGTGAATGAGGTGGTTGGGTAGCCTTGTGGTACAAACGTTCGCTCAGCAAGCTGCAGATCCGGTTCGATTCACAAGAGATTATGTGTGAAGCCAGTACTTGGTGCCCCCGGGGGATGTTCTTAGAATATTGGTAATAGCTTTAATAAGAATAGGTGAGTGAGTGAGTTGGTTTAACGCCGCTTTTAACAGTATTCCAGTTATATCACGGAGTGTCAGCTTAATGTGGGAGGAAAGCCCGAAGTGATGCAGGTCTCAGACGTTTACCACTTCGGTGAAACCCACGAGCACGGGTATGGTGCTGACAAACCTAGAAACATAATTGGGGCGAACCGGGATTCGAACCCACAATCATAGGTTTCTGGCGTGCCCAAGGGACGCAACTCTGCACAGCGAATCGCGGCGCCTTAGACGACTGGGCCACCCCCTTTAATAAGAATACATTTTACGGCGTTTTAACAATTTTGCAGAAAAATCACGGCGGGGAACACCAGAAATGAGCTTCAGTCATTGTATCCTTGTGGGGAATCGAACCTGGGCATTTGGGTGTCGAGCGAACGCTTAAACAACTAGGCTACCCCTCGGCAAGAATGAATTGGAAAATAATGAAGATAGCAATAGTTAGTAAAATTTAACGTTGACGTTGTATCTTTACAGGACCGGAAGCTGCTGAACGCGCTCTTAGAGGTGATCGCTCAACCCTACAACTATCTGAAATACGCAAACGTGTCCCATACGATGTTCCCACAATCCTTCTTCCGGCTTCTCACGCCCAAAGTTCGGCGCTTTTTCAACACATGATGAGACGGGGACAATGCTGGGAGCAAGGAGAATGTGCATTACTCATAGGAAAATTTTCATGCGATGTGATCATGTGACATCACGTGACCTTGACCTCATGCTGCTCCAAGCAGACTGGATTTCATAGCCTTCCGGTGGCAAAGGTCATCCAAGGGAGGCAACTCATCCTCATTTATATCAGTGTTGTGTCATAAGACATGTCCTAGGCCGTACAATGTGGGACGTTTAATTGTTGAGTTGAGGAAATGACACCTGTAGTTGATACAATTGAACACGTGACTTACTATACCAAAGGAGACGGTATATGTGAGTATACTAAATGGAGAATTGTTCAGTGTTCATGTGAAATCCTTGGAAGCGTTGCCATAGAAACTATATGCCATAGAAATTGGTTATACGTGGTAACGCTCTGTCGCGGTTGACGTAAAGGCATTTATATCCCGTGTAGGGATGGGTGGAGTTTTAACGCTGTGTGTATCTGCACCCCCGCAAACAACAGTAACGGGCTTTCTCCTTAACTGGATGTTCCAGCGCTGGCACAACTAGTTGCACGGAGAATGAATCAGTGAACATGAAATATGCATATATTCATCTCGTTCTAGCTTAAAAAGCACAGTAGCCATATCTCATGATTACATATCTACCCCTTGACCTGCAGTAGAGCGGTAGGGGTTAAGTCTGGGCGGGGATAGCGGTTTTGCAAATGATTCGGACACAATGGGTTATGGGTTTGGGGACGCCTTAGGATCAGATCGCTTTTTTTCAATCAAACATACGTACACAACTTAACGATTCAGTCACTCAGAATATTATTTTCTGTGCAAATACAACTTAAAGTTGATGCCAGATGTCAGAAATTCAGGGTTTGTTGGACGTCCGAGAACGTGTCATGTCTTATGGTCGGAGTACGTTATTTCTCTCTTTGTTGATGCTCTGATACAGTCAAAAAAGGTCTGTTTAGGAACACCCTAGACAGGGTTTCTGAGTCAAAAGCGTTGTGTTTTTTTCTAAATTAAGATGTGTTTTATTTCCCACCCGACCACTGAAATGTAGTTTACAAGCAACAAGAATTAACATTTACGTCAATTTGAAACTGCGTATTACGATTCTGAGATAAACGTAAGGGGATATATTTCAAAGGGTCACGTGACGCTTTAATTATCAACCATTTTGAACTACAGGAAACGAAAAAAAGGTAGAGTAAATATGATTGACGTCACGCTTACGCAGGTTTTGACAAAACACTATGTGTCGGATTTGGGGAAATCTGTACTTAGAAAGGCTAGCTCTGTTAAATTGATATTTAAATAGGACATCATTACAGCTGGGCGTACCGGATGATTTATGTGTATGTTTTAATCTGGTGATGAGCGCTTTCGTTTTATTTTAATTGGTCTGGTATAAACCGTTAAACACCCTTTGACTAACAACCCACACCAACGCATAATCACAATGTTTAAAAGATCTCTAACCTGGTGATTCATCTGGGTGCGGACATTTTTCAATGGACACACCTTCACTTATTACTGATCCTCAGACAAAACGGTTTACACCTATTTCGGAAGATATACGATTTCTAAAACAATGACATCAAGCAGCGGGAAAGACACCTTCTTTTCAATTTCCTGTTCCAAAGTGTAAACGGTTGCACTAGCAAAACAATCTTAACAGAAATGAATACATATGCTGCACAAAGCGTGTTGATGAATATGGTTTCCATGGCAACATATTGATGAATATCGTTTCCCTAACGACATGTTGATTAATATAGTTGTCCATGGTTGGTGAATATGGTTTCCCTATATGTTAGTGAAAACGGTTTCCATGACAACATATTGATGAATATGTTTCCATGACAACATATTGATGAATATGGTTTCCCTGACGACATGTTGATTAATGGTTGGTGGATAGGTTTCCATGACAACTTATTGATGAATATGGTTCCCATGACAACACGTTACTGAATATGGTTTCCATGACAACAGAGCTGTGTGATAGGTTGTTTGAACACGTGGTCCGCTAACCCCCGAAAGGATATCTTTATCCGTCGCTTTACAATATAAATGCTTCAAGCTGAGTAATGCACTGAATAAGGGAATGCATTAATTTGTAGGACATTGGCTTTACAGTAAGTGTATATTTTTATTGTTATATATTTTGCTTATCTATCTGTGTGTACATGCTTGTCAAATCTCGATGTATTTAATATATGTATTGTCCTAAATCTGTATGTGCAAATTGTTCAGTGATGTTAAGCTTCTGTCAGTGTCGAATTATTCAGTTTCACCCATATATGACCCATCTAGTTTGCAGCTTGACCAGGCTTCATGTTCAATAAAAGAATCTTGTCCCGAAAACATAAGGAACCCGTTTCCAGATTAATATGCGATTTAATATACGATATTTAATCTCAATTAAATATTGCCATGAAAATCAAAACAATAAAAAAGGAACATGGATTCATCCAAATATAGTTTTATCCAGTGCCTCCCATTTTTCAATAATTGTGTTGTAATATCAAGAGATGCACGTGCATGAAGGACACACGCTAAAAGACTCCGATACACATCACAAGTATCGAGACATTGGAGGCCCGCGGACTTGCGACCTTAGCCATCAGATTACGATGATCACGGGTTTGAATCCCAGATTCGCCCTCATGATGATTCTGGTTTGTCAGCAGCATACACGTGCTTGTGGATTCACCGAATTTTGTAACCGTCCGAGACATGCTTCACTTCGGGCTTTCCTTCAACTTAAAACTGATATAACTGAAATACATTTCAAAGTGACGTTAAACCAAACTCACAAACTTTAAACCAATTCCCTCACTCACTATCCGCACAATACCCTGCCCTGTTTGGGATCGGGGGAAACATATCTCTATGCGTAGATAAAGTTTATTTAAGCAATTGTCAGATAAATTAAGCTGTCAGATTTCGACTATGCAGATACCGATCCGGAAAAGAAACGTCACCTCATGAAAGGTTCCCATTGACATATCAATGCATTGTTTTGGAGGTATGTCTGTATATAAATTTAATGTTAATGGCCATAAATGACACAAATATGGTATAATGGGTCGCCAAAACTCAGCTTAACAAACGCCCATAGTACAAAATTCCGAATGCTTTCCATGAAAATCAAAATTCACTTGCGTTTCCGTGTGCCTTTTCTGATAAACGGCACCCCAGTACGTGGCTCCAACATTCTTGTATCTACAGCGCTATGCCAAGACTTATTAAGAATCAGAGAAACCAGGCTCAATGAAGATTGCATGCTGTTGGTGACCTGGTATCGTTGTCGTAATCTGTAGATGGTTCTCACGTGGACAATAAAAGCATTATCAACCATTCGTGCAGTCTGACCAGCATGCAGTCGTCCTAAAGCCTGGTTCCTTAGAGTTTTGGAATGGCGCTAAGATCGGTACAAGAATGTTGGTGCCACGTATTGGTGTGTATTTTAATGAACTGACGCGTCCTTTGCGGATCAGTAAATTATATATATGTACCAGCATGTTTGGAGGACTCGGGTGTCCATTGTGAGATGTTAGTGTGATATTAGCGCTACGTAACACCAGAGACCATATAATAGATCTGTTATACGGTCTCTGATAACAGAATTGTATTGGAATATACCAAAATGATATCACTCTCAAATCCGTTTGACGCCAATCCTTCTGCGAGGTTTAAACAGTTTGGGCGTTCGCCTAAACATTTCAACTATCGATAAAACTGAGATAATATGCGCCAGTTGTTAATGAACGCAGTTGAAGAACACTCTCTGCTTGAACGTTGTTGTACGAGCTGTTCACCGACGCCCTTATGGTGGCGTGATGGAATTTTGCTGACACGAACAGGTCTTCGTAAAACTAGATGGGTCACGTGACCTCATGTACATTGCACCCTGCTAACAGAACCCTGAACTAGATCTTATTGTTCTCACCAATAAACACTGTGTAAAACCTCGAACTAAATGTCTAGTCTTATCATTTGTATTACAGTGATATATAATCATGTATATGTAGGTATCTATTGAAGACCCGTGAAGATCCGTGTTAGAATAGGTCTTCAGGAACCCATGCTTGCCGTAAAAGGCGATTATGCTTGTCGTTAGAGGCGACTAACGGGATCGGGTGGTCAGGCTCGCTGACTTGGATGATGCATGTCATCGTATCCCAATTGCATGGGTCGATGCTCATGATGTCAATCACGCGATTATTTACAGACCGTTGTAGCTGGAATATAGCTGAGTGCGGCGTTAAACAACAAACAAACACACAAACACAGATTTGGTGGGACGGGCTTTTACGTAACGTGAATCTGTGTGACGAATGCCTGATGAGGTCAGAGTCAAATAATCGTGTCTGGGCCAGATATTCCTGTGGTTGATATCATGAGCATCGATCTACGCAAATTGGATACGCTATGCATCAACCATATCAGCGAGCCTGACCGCCCGATCCCGTTAGTCGGCTCTTTCGACAAGCATGGGAAGGCCAATTCTAACCCGGATCTTCGGGTTTAGAGTCTGTGACTGTGTTGGGGGTACTTTTGTTGCGGGCTTCTGTGTGACGAGTTCCTGTGGCGAGAATCTGACAGTCCATGATCTGTGTGGCGAGAATCTGACAGTCCATGATCTGTGTGGCGAGAATCTGACAGTCCATGATCTGTGTGGCGAGAATCTGACAGTCCATGATCTGTGTGGCGAGAATCTGACAGTCCATGATCTGTGTGGCGAGAATCTGACTGTCCATGATCTGTTTTGCGAGAATCTGACAGTCCATGATCTGTGTGGCGAGAATCTGACAGTCCATGATCTGTGTGGCGAGAATCTGACAGTCCATGATCTGTGTGGCGAGAATCTGACTGTCCATGATCTGTTTTGCGAGAATCTGACAGTCCATGATCTGTGTGGCGAGAATCTGACAGTCCATGATCTGTGTGGCGAGAATCTGACAGTCCATGATCTGTGTGGCGAGAACCTGACAGTCCATGATCTGTGTGGCGAGAACCTGACAGTCCATGATCTGTATGGCGAGAATCTGACAGTCCATGATCTGTGTGGCGAGAATCTGACAGTCCATGATCTGTGTGGCGAGAATCTGACAGTCCATGATCTGTGTGGCGAGAATCTGACTGTCCATGATCTGTTTTGCGAGAATCTGACAGTCCATGATCTGTGTGGCGAGAATCTGACAGTCCATGATCTGTGTGGCGAGAATCTGACAGTCCATGATCTGTGTGGCGAGAATCTGACAGTCCATGATCTGTATGGCGAGAATCTGACAGTCCATGATCTGTGTGGCGAGAATCTGACAGTCCATGATCTGTGTGGCGAGAATCTGACAGTCCATGATCTGTGTGGCGAGAACCTGACAGTCCATGACCTGTGTGGCGAGAATCTGACAGTCCGTGATCTTTGTGGCGAGAATCTGACAGCCCATGATCTGTGTGGCGAGAATCTGTGAAAGGAGTACCTGTGTGACGGGAATCTGACAGTCCATGATCTGTGTGGCGAGAATCTGACAGTCCATGATCTGTGTGGCGAGAATCTGACAGTCCATGATCTGTTTTGCGAGAATCTGACAGTCCATGATCTGTGTGGCGAGAATCTGACAGTCCATGATCTGTATGGCGAGAATCTGACAGTCCGTGATCTGTATGGCGAGAATCTGACAGTCCATGATCTGTATGGCGAGAATCTGACAGTCCATGATCTGTGTGGCGAGAATCTGACAGTCCATGATCTGTGTGGCGAGAATCTGACAGTCCATGATCTGTATGGCGAGAATCTGACAGTCCATGATCTGTGTGGCGAGAATCTGTGAAAGGAGTACCTGTGGGACGGGAATCTGACAGTCCATGATCTGTGTGGCGAGAATCTGACAGTCCATGATCTGTGTGGCGAGAATCTGACAGTCCATGATCTGTGTGGCGAGAATCTGACAGTCCATGATCTGTGTGGCGAGAATCTGACAGTCCATGATCTGTATGGCGAGAATCTGACAGTCCATGATCTGTGTGGCGAGAATCTGACAGTCCATGATCTGTGTGACGGGAATCTGACAGTCCATGATCTGTGTGGCGAGAATCTGACAGTCCGTGATCTGTGGGACGGGAATCTGACAGTCCATGATCTGTGTGGCGAGAATCTGACAGTCCATGATCTGTGTGGCGAGAACCTGACAGTCCATGATCTTTGTGGCGAGAATCTGACAGTCCGTGATCTTTGTGGCGAGAATCTGACAGCCCATGATCTGTGTGGCGAGAATCTGTGAAAGGAGTACCTGTGGGACGGGAATCTGACAGTCCATGATCTGTGTGGCGAGAATCTGACAGTCCATGATCTGTGTGACGGGAATCTGACAGTCCATGATCTGTGTGGCGAGAATCTGACAGTCCATGATCTGTATGGCGAGAATCTGACAGTCCATGATCTGTGTGGCGAGAATCTGACAGTCCGTGATCTTTGTGGCGAGAATCTGACAGCCCATGATCTGTGTGGCGAGAATCTGTGAAAGGAGTACCTGTGGGACGGGAATCTGACAGTCCATGATCTGTGTGGCGAGAATCTGACAGTCCATGATCTGTGTGGCGAGAATCTGACAGTCCATGATCTGTGTGGCGAGAATCTGACAGTCCATGATCTGTGTGGCGAGAATCTGACAGTCCATGATCTGTGTGGCGAGAATCTGACAGTCCATGATCTGTGTGGCGAGAATCTGACAGTCCATGATCTGTGTGGCGAGAATCTGTGAAAGGAGTACCTGTGTGACGGGAATCTGTATGACGAGTGTCTGGGCGGCGGGAACACAGGAAGACAGGTACTCGTCACACATGCACTGCTGACACAGATTCACGTGGCACGGGCTCTCGTCACTTAGATTCCTCACACAAACGATCCCCAAACAGGCGCACACGCATTACTCTGGCCCAGTTCGAATGCACAAAGCATGTTGACAGTCCTACACTTCAGAGAAGACATACGGATGGAGAGTCCAGGATTGTGAGTGAGTGAGTGAGTTGGGTTTAACGCCGCTTTTAACAGTATTCCAGTTATATCACGGCGTGTCAGCTTAACGTGGGAGGAAAGACCGAAGTGACGCAGGTCTCAGACCTTTACCACTTCGGTGAAACCCACGAGACGGATATGGTGCTGACAAGCTAGAAACTCAATCGGGGCGAACCGGGATCCATGGGTTTCTGGCGTGCCCAAGGGACGCAACTCTGCACAGCGAATCGCGGCGCCTTAGCCGACTGGGCCACCCGTGCCCCTTCTAGGATTTTGAAAACGGAGCAACGACAATTCAGCTTAATCTTATCCATCACCAGGAGGATTCCTGCTCAGAAAAAGGTCCCCGGTCACCTAAATGTGCTTGGCATACGAGGCATCTAAAATAGATCGGTGGGAAGTCATTCTCGGCGTTGGGCTAATGGGTGGAATCGTAGTCCGACAGGGTGTAGCGTTGATCATTTCAACCACTGGTTTGTTTGTTTGTTGTTTAACGCCGCACTCAGCAATATTCCAGCTATATGACGGCTGTCTGTAAATAATCCGAGTCTGGACCAGACAATCCAGTGATTCATAACATGAGCATCGATCCACACAAGTGGGATACGATGACATGCATCAACCAAGTCAGCAAGCCTGACCACCCGATCCCGTAATTCGCCTCTTACGACAAGCATGGTCACCTCTAACGGCAAGCATGAGTTGCTGAAGACCTATTCTTCCCCGGATCTTCACGGGTCAGTTTTCTAGTACAAACCCTGAGAGGGTTACATCAGGAGTTGACTGTAGAAGGGGCATTATTGATGAGGAGACAGTATTGTGTCGGCCCTGATAACCAAGGGTAAGTCGTCATCCACATACTAGCACACACGGGAAACACGAGTGTTCACGGAGCATGATCATATGTGAAACCACAAAAGTCAGCCCTATGGATCGTACTGGTGAACAATTATGACTTTATTTTGTGCGAATAGGTTGGTTGGTTGTTTAACGCCGCCACACTGCCCCAGAAACCGGTCCCCCTGCTCCTCCTGCCTCCCAGCCCTGTTGCTACCCCTGCTGCAGCAGCAACAACAGTGTCAGTGTCTAGCCAGGAGTGAGTGCCTAATTACCTATTTTTTACAATTTATTATTACAGCTCTGTTCAATAAGTTTTTGTTTGTTTGTTGTTTAACGCTGCACTCTGCAATATTCCAGCTATATGACGGCGGTCTGTAAATAATTGAGTCTGGACCAGACAATCCAGTGATTGATATCATGAGCATCAATCCACGCAATTGGGATCGATGACATGCATCAACCAAGTCAGCAAGCCTGACCACCCGATCCCGTTAGTCGCATCTTACGGCAAGCATGGATTGCTAAAGGACCTATTCTACCCCGGATCTTCACATTTTTAAGTAAAGTTGACTTTAATGAAGATATCAATGTATGCGGATAGTGTCACTGTAAGACAAGCACAGTCGCCTTTTACGGCAAGCATGGGTTGCTGAAGACCTATTCTACCCCGGATCAGTGCGAATAGGTGTAACAGTGCGAATCGGTGTAATATCGAACACGTAATGTCAGAGAGTCCATATAAGACACATAAACTTGACACCCTGTCATAATTTGGAGAAATAGCTGTGATTTTACGAGTGCTCTTGTCGATAAATATTTATTAAGAGAATGTTATTATTCATGGCTCTGTATTTACAAGCAAACGTCCGTCATCAATAGGACATAGCTGTGCAATAAACGCTACTTGAGTTACCCAAGCATGTGCAGTGACTGACACTCTAGCGTGGGTGGTGTGGTAGTCAATGCAGAAACATTTGGTCGTTTATCTCCTCCTTGGCCATGCCTGATCCCCACAGAGATACACTAATTGAAGACCATCCTTGTGTCATCAGTAGTGCTGAAATATTGATCAACCCACAATCAATCTGTCCCCTCCCCTCTCACATGTCATCCAAGAGGCAGGCTTCAGAACAACAAAAGTCAGAATTCAATATGCACTCTTTTATTCCATACCATCAACATAAAGACTCTCACTTGCATTCTTTGAGTAGAAACATTCAAATAAAATCTGTAAACATGTTCTGTTAGGAAAACGATATACCATGTACCAAATACATTGATAATAGAGGAGTCTTCCCCTACCGATCAGTTCAGCAGAAAGTGTAGTATTGTAAGGACAGACTACAGAGCAGCACCATGGTCTTGTATATCTAAACGAAGTAGTACCCATCCTTACGACACTATCCGCATCTATTAATATCTTCATCAAAGTCAACTTTACTTCATCCAGGTTAGAATAGGTCTTCAGCAACCCATGCTTGCCGTAAAAGGTGACTATGCTTATCATAAGAGGCGACTAAGGGATCGGGTGGTCAGGCTCGCTGACTTGGTTGATGCATGTCATCGTATCTGAATTGCGTGGATCGATGCTCATGATGTCATTTACTGGATTGTCTGGTCCAGACTCGATTTTACAGACCCCCGTCATAGAACTGGAATATTGCTGAATGCAGCATTAAACAAGTTAAAGAACAAACAAAACAATTTTACTTCACAAACAGTTGATGTTTACATTACCATCCTACTTCCAAACTTTCTCAACAGAACATAGTCATTCAATGGAATCCTAGATACCATCTGGTTATGTTTCTAGATTTGTCAGCATCAGGGCCCACTTGCACAAAGCGATCTTAGCGCTAAGACGATCGTAACTTCCATACTTTAACATAGGCTTACAATAGTCTTAGCACTAAGATCGCTTTGTGCAAGTGGGCCCTGGACTTCAAAATATAATTGACATATTTTTTTTACCAAATGACATAAGTGAGTGAGTTTGGTTTTATGCTGCTTTTAGCAATATTCCAGCAATATCACTGCGGGGGACACCAGAAATGGGATTCACACATTGTACCCACGTCAGGAATCAAACCCCGGATCTTTGGTGTGACAAGCGAACGCTTTAACCACTAGGCCACCCGACCGCCCCAAATGGCCCAGGTATCAAAATATGACCAATATTAGGGGGGAAACTGGAGTTCTCCCTGTAAAGCAGCAAGCACTACACACGTAATGAGATGAACGATGAGATGGAAGCCATGGAGATCATGGGCTAAAGCAACAGTGGTAGAAGAAGTTGATAAAGTGGCAGTGTATATCTGGCAGGCTGACATCGGACACAGGACAGGCGACAAACTGTCTTCACAATACTGTCTGGTAATACTTCTCAGACAGAAATAGAAAATGTCACAAAATTATGACATTAAATGAGATCAAATATTATAATTAAAAGTTGATATATACACCAAATAAACCAATTTTGACATGGGAATATAAATGACTGATTGCAATTTTTTATAACCGATACCTATTAATTATGAATAAATTATTACCTATTAATGACTTCCTGTCCCAAAAGGATACCAGCTTCAGGTCAGGGTTTTTGGTTTTGAAATTTCCTGTAAGCTCTACTGTACAATAACAGAATACTATAATGTGATGTAAAATCCTTAAAAACAACAATATGACAACAAGGAGATCACGACGTCTCCGAGACATATCCTCCCTTAGGGGGTTTAGGGACAGCAGTGGGGTCGAGTCCGAGCTGCTTCATCTGCACTCCCACCTCAAACAGGTAGTCGTAACACTCGCACCTGTACAGGAGAAATGTGGTATGAGAAGGACGGGCTTTATGTGGACTAGTGTGGACTATCACAGCAACATCACAGATAAATGAGAGCAACAACACAGCTTAAAGACAGCAACACCACAACTATATAACAGCAACAATACAGCTCTAATACAACTATATCACAGCCATAATACAACTATATCACAGCTACAATACAACTATAAATCATATAATGGTAGGTTTCCTGGTAGGATAAAGCCAACAGATAAAAACGATATTCGTTGGGGTCTTATGCAGATAGAGGTGCAAATATCAAAGGTCAAGAAGGGACTACTTTCAGTGTTTATATACAAACATGGCATCGCCCTTGTCATTCAGCAATCGAGTCACGCTTAACCAGTGGGAATATGGAGAAAGTACTGGGATAATTGCTAACATTATCAAAAGAATAGTCTAATATACTGTATAAGAAACAGGGTTCAGTTGGAACTACATTAGCTACTGTCACTGTCCGAGTGACACATCACTTACATTCTGACGTAATAAATACAACGCTGGTAATGCACATATTCCAGGAAAACACCCAACGTTTAGGTTTGTGAGAGACAGGAAGAGATTTGAGCACAGAATTGAAGAATGACATCGTATGATAAAGAGGTTATCACGCAAGTGTGTTTGGGGATGGTAAATACCGTGTATTTGGATTTAACACTATGTATTTAGCAAAGACTTGCTAAATACATTGTTTATTCCTAATGCAGCTTATTTACCATCCCCAAACACACTCGCGTGATAATCTCTTTATCACAGCACCAATACTGCTACACCACAACTACAGTAAACTATGTTTATGACGAACACGCTCATAACGAACTGACGGCTATAACAAACTGTTTTTTCGGTCCCAGCCATTTACTGTTAATATGCTAAATACATGCTCATGGGTTATAACAAACTAAAATTGGTGGTCCCTTTGAGTCCCTTATAACCATTGTTTACTGTACAGTAAACTACGGTTATAACGAACTCAAAGGGACAGCTAATTTTAGTTCTTTATAACCATAGTTCGTTATGAACATAAATGCAACGTATATACATCAAATGTCCGGAATCAAAAAGACCAGTTTGTTGTATCCGTTATAAACATAGCTTACTGTATATCACAGCCATTATTCATCAACATCAGAACTATACCACAGCAACAATACTGCTCTATTCCAGATACAACACAGAAAACTGTACACCACATACACGGTCTACAGGACACGTTTACACGTTTACTGTTGGCAATCAACAAATGTGAGGTGAGGTGACATGGGGTTTAACGTCGCGTCCAAGATTATTGCACTTATATAGCGACGTGCATGTACGTGTGTGTGTTTGTGTGGCTGCTTGTACTAGTCCGGACTGATGCCGATTTATAGTGCTAGCTCACTGAGATACCGTGTTGCAGTTTAACATGAATACCCCACTCAGACACAGTATACTGACTCCGAGCCGACCAGTCCTTGGTTTAGCCCCTTAATGCCGAGCGCCAGACAGGGTTACAACAAGTACCATCTTTTAACGTCTTTAGGTATGACGCGGTCGGGGATCGAACCCCGGACCTTCTGCTCTCCGGGCGGCGCTCTACCACTAGACCATGGAGGCGGTCCAATCAACAAAGTGAAACCTGCCCACAGACTTTACAAGTACTGCACATGAGCATGTCCTGTGTTTACAGTTTATCAGCTGTCATCCTACTACCTGGGATCTGGAATACATGGCACTATGACTACAGTCGGCGTGACTCCATCAAGACTTACATGGCTTTAGCCTTCTGCCATGTCTCTCCCCAGACGTAGAACCCGTGTCGTCTGACGAGCACGGCACATGTGTCAGGATAGTCTTCCATTGCTCGTGCCATGGCATCCTGGTGGGGAAAGCACTGCTACATATAAACTCATTCACAAATAGTCTTGTATCAAGAAAATGATCCAATTGGTTCATAAGGAAGAGAATATATGGATGTCAACTTCTTTATTAAGAGGAACACAACGTTTTGGTGTATACAGTATATACTTACTCCTTCATCATGTGTCTACCAACATCCACAACTGGCGACAAAGGAAACTACAAGAAGCCATTGACATCAGGAGACACCAGCCAGCCATGAATCATGACCAGGGAACCTATCTGCCTAGTACTTGGGACTTATTGCTTTGATCTTTGTCGGGGCTAATTACCTAGCTGGCTTCTATTTACCCTTTGCTATGTCCATTCTTTCACCTATCTGTGCTAATTACCCCCGGCTTCCCGTTTGTCCAGTGTCCATTACCTATTACTTATCTATGATAACTTAAGTACTGGCTTCCATACTATCAGCGATATAACTGTAAAGTGTTGGCTTCCATTGTCTATTGTAAATCACCTTACAGCGCCAATCATCTGTTGGCTTTCCTTGTTAGTTTCTACCCTTTGTTATTTTCCTACATTTGTCATCTTATTATTTTTGCTGTCCTTACATGTACACATATATGCTCTCTGCCTCATGGCATTCATTCAGCACATCGAAACCGTATTACAAACCACCCTCAATCTAAACAAGCCTCTCACTCTAGAAGCAAAACTAAACCCACAAAATAAACTAGAAAACTTCAAGGCCTTAGGCGTATTCTTAATCAAAACGGAACTAATAAAATGCATCTAAAAACACAATAACCTACCAAATCAAAATCACATAAACAAACAAACATCCACCATACCCAGCTCCCTTAGTTCTCCTCCCCAACCCCATCGGCATCTATTCCAAATCTCAAGATTCCCAAATTCTATATAAGCAACCCCTAAAGCCCCCTCTTGGGTTGCACAGACCACTTTCGCCCCTTTCGGAAACACATTAAATGGCCTGGCCGGGCCCGTGTGCGAAATACGCATCAGTCGGAAAGCGCACGTTAAATCTCCAAAGTAAGTAAGTAAGGCATTCATTCACCTGATGAAGGAGTAAGCATATACTCCGAAATGTTGTGTTCCTCATAATAAAGGTTGGTTGGTTCGTTGGTTGGTTGGGTTGTTGTTTAACGCCGCACTCAGCAATATTCCATTTATATGACGGTGGTCTGTAAATAATTGAGTCTGGACCAGACAATCCAGTGATTAATATCATGAGCATCGATCCACGCAATTGGGAGCAATGACATGCATCAACCAAGTCAGCGAGCCTGACCACCCGATCCCCTTAGTTGCCTTTTACAACAAGCATAGTCACCTTTTACGGCAAGCATGGGTTGCTGAAGACCTATTCTACCCCGGAATCATCATGGGTCCATTATAAAGGAGTTGACATCCATATATTCTCTGCCTTATGTGCATCACTTCTAAATGCCTTTCAAAGATCCAACTGGTTCATGTTCTGTAGATGTGAAATGAAGCATATTTCATAATGTCAGAAAAGATGTTTACAGCACTCACAATGCTCCTTGATGGAATAGACAAGTCCCTTCCCCATCCCCAACAGGCACAAGCTTCTATCTAAGAGGCTGACCATTTATGAGCAAGAGTCATCAGAAGATGACAAATCCCCCCAGGCCTCACAAATTCAAAAGAACAAATCATCTGACTGTTACTTTAAGTCCAACTTGATGAGAGAATTTCTCTGCAATTTGTCTGCCCATATACAAGAGTAGTTATTGTGCTATCAAAACAAAATCATGGAATTGGGTTTCAGAACTTTGCAGCTACACACCACTATCAACAGAGTCAAAACAAACTTGTTGCCATGGACACAGAAAAAATATCAATTCCAAAAATCCAAGAACAGCGAAAGGCAGCACTTGGTCTTTGTGTGTGTGCACAGTTTCAAGAAAGAGTTCCTATTAGTTAGAGATAAGGTCAAACATGTTGCCTTGGAAACAGGAATAATTAATTTTTCTTAAAATTCCTAAAAGGCACCACTTCAGCCCTTCATTAATACATATACCAAGTGTGGATGAAAAAAGTTGAATAGTGTTTTAGTTCTGCTCTGGAAACGACACCTGTCTGGGGGAGGGAGGGAGGGAGCGGGAGTTTGTTAGAATCAGAATGTTCTTCAGACACAGCTACAAGACATACAAATGTACCATATTTTTCAGAGGAGCCAAACATTTCTCTTCAACACACTTTTTTCAGGACATCCACTGTGTCCAGCAAACAAACATTTGAGGGGTAATTCCCAGAATAACCAATGGCCGTTACCCCACTGCACGTCAGGACATCCGCTGTGTCCAGGAAACCTAAACATTTGAGAGGTATTTCCCAGAATACCCAATGGCCGTTCCCCAAATGCAGGTCAGGACATCCCCTGTGTCAACCAAACATAAACATTTGAGGGGTATTTCCCAGAATACCCAATGGCCGTTCCCCCACTGCACGTCAGGACATCCACTGTGTCCAGCAAACAAACATTTGAGGGGTAATTCCCAGAATACCCAATGGCCGTTCCCCCACTGCACGTCAGGACATCCTAGGTGTCCAGCAAACAAACATTTGAGGGGTAATTCCCAGAATACCCAATGGCCGTTCCCCACTGCACCGACTTGATCAGTGACAGTACCTTCAGATCCTTCTCCTCTGGGGTGTTCTCCACGATCGGGACAACCAGCTCCTCATTGTACTTGTAGTACCCACCTGAGATAACGACAGGGCACAGACACATGAGATAACGACAGGGAACTGACACATGAGATAATGACAGGGCACAGACACATGAAATAACGACAGGGCACAGACATATGAGATAACGACAGGGCACAGACACATCAGATAACGACAGGGCACAGACACATGAGATAACGACAGGGCACAGACACATGAGATAACGACAGGGCACAGACACATGAGATAATGACAGGGCACAGACACATGAGATAATGACGGGGCACAGACACATGAGATAATGACAGGGCACAGACACATGAGATAATGACGGGGCACAGACACATGAGATAATGACAGGTCAAAGACACATGAGATAATGACAGGGCACAGACACATGAGATAATGACAGGGCACAGACACATGAGATAATGACAGGGCACAGACACATGAGATAATGACGGGGCACAGACACATGAGATAATGACAGGGCACAGACACTTGACATAATGACAGGGCACAGACACATGAGATAATGACAGGGCACAGACACATGAGATAATGACAGGGCACAGACATATGAGATAACGACAGGGCACAGACACATGAGATAATGACAGGTCACAGACACATGAGATAACGACAGAGCACAGACACATGAGATAATGACAGGGCACAGACACATGAGATAATGACAGGTCATAGACACATTAGATGATGACAGGTGGTAGACACATGAGATAATGACAGGGCACAGACACATGAGGCAATGACAGGTCATAGACACATGAGATAACGACTGGGCACAGACACATGAGATGATGACAGGGCACAGACACATGAGATAATGACAGGTGATAAAGACATGAGATGATCACAGGGCACTGACACATGAGATGAGGAAAGGTCATAGACACATGAGATAACGACTGGGCACAGACACATGAGATAATGACAGGTCATAGACACTTGAGATAACGACGGAACAGACACATGAGATAATGACAGGTCATAGACAAATGAGATGACAGGGCACAGACACATGAGATGATGACAGGTCATAGACACATGAGATAACGACTGGGCACAGACACATGAGACAATGACAGGGCACAGACACATGAGATAATGACAGGTCACAGACACATGAGATAATGACAGGTCATAGACACATGAGATAATGACAGGTCATAGACACATGAGATGATGACAGGTCATACACACATGAGATAACGACTGGGCACAGACACATGAGATAATGACAGGGCACAGACACATGAGATAATGACAGGTCATAGACACATGAGATAATGACAGGTCATAGACACATGAGATAATGACTAGTCATAGACACATGAGATAATGACAGGTCATAGACACATGAGATAATGACAGGTCATAGACACATGAGATAATGACAGGGCACAGACACATGAGATAATGACAGGTCATAGACACATGAGATAATGACAGGTCAAAGACACATGATATAATGACAGGTCATAGACAAAGGGGATAATGACAGGTCATAGACACATGAGATAATGACAGGTCATAGACACAGGAGATAATGACAGGGCACAGACACATGAGATAATGACAGGTCATAGACACATGAGATAATGACAGGGCATAGACACATGAGATAATGACAGGTCAAAGACACATGAGATAATGACAGGTCAAAGACACATGAGATAACGACTGGGCACAGACACATGAGATAATGACTGGTCATAGACACATTAGATGATGACAGGTGGTAGACACATGAGATGATGACAGGGAACAGACACATGAGATAATGACAGGGAACAGACACATGAGATAATGACAGGGCACAGACACATGAGATAATGACAGGGCACAGACATATGAGATAACGACAGGGCACAGACACATGAGATAATGACTGGTCATAGACACATGAGATAACGACTGGGCACAGACACATGAGATAATGACTGGTCATAGACACATTAGATGATGACAGGTGGTAGACACATGAGATGATGACAGGGAACAGACACATGAGATAATGAATGGTCACAGACACATGAGATAATGACAGGGAACAGACACATGAGATGATGACAGGTCATAGACACATGAGATAACGACTGGGCACAGACACATGAGATAATGACAGGGAACAGACACATGAGATAATGACTGGTCATAGACACATGAGATAACGACTGGGCACAGACACATGAGATAATGACTGGTCATAGACACATTAGATGATGACAGGTGGTAGACACATGAGATGATGACAGGGAACAGACACATGAGATAATGACTGGTCACAGACACATGAGATAATGACAGGGAACAGACACATGAGATGATGACAGGTCATAGACACATGAGATAATGACAGGTCATAGACACATGAGATAACGACTGGGCACAGACACATGAGATAATGACAGGGAACAGACACATGAGATAATGACTGGTCATAGACACATGAGATAACGACTGGGCACAGACACATGAGATAATGACTGATCATAGACACATTAGATGATGACAGGTGGTAGACACATGAGATGATGACAGGGAACAGACACATGAGATAATGACTGGTCACAGACACATGAGATAATGACAGGGAACAGACACATGAGATGATGACAGGTCATAGAAACATGAGATAACGACAGGGAACAGACATTTGAGATGATGACAGGTCATAGACACATGAGATAACGACTGGGCACAGACATATGAGATAATGACAGGGAACAGACACATGAGATAATGACTGGTCATAGACACATGAGATAACGACTGGGCACAGACACATGAGATAATGACAGGGCACAGACACATGAGATAATGACAGGTCATAGACACATGAGATAATGACAGGGCATAGACACATGAGATAATGACAGGTCATAGAAACATGAGATAACGACAGGGAACAGACATTTGAGATGATGACAGGTCATAGACACATGAGATAACGACTGGGCACAGACATATGAGATAATGACAGGGAACAGACACATGAGATAATGACTGGTCATAGACACATGAGATAACGACTGGGCACAGACACATGAGATAATGACAGGGCACAGACACATGAGATAATGACAGGTCATAGACACATGAGATAATGACAGGTCATAGACACATGAGATAATGACTAGTCATAGACACATGAGATAATGACAGGTCATAGACACATGAGATAATGACAGGTCATAGACACATGAGATAATGACAGGGCACAGACACATGAGATAATGACAGGTCATAGACACATGAGATAATGACAGGTCAAAGACACATGATATAATGACAGGTCATAGACAAAGGGGATAATGACAGGTCATAGACACATGAGATAATGACAGGGAACAGACACAGGAGATAATGACAGGGCACAGACACATGAGATAATGACAGGTCATAGACACATGAGATAATGACAGGGCATAGACACATGAGATAATGACAGGTCAAAGACACATGAGATAACGACTGGGCACAGACACATGAGATAATGACTGGTCATAGACACATTAGATGATGACAGGTGGTAGACACATGAGATGATGACAGGGAACAGACACATGAGATAATGACAGGGCACAGACACATGAGATAATGACAGGGCACAGACACATGAGATAATGACAGGGCACAGACATATGAGATAACGACAGGGCACAGACACATGAGATAATGACTGGTCATAGACACATGAGATAACGACTGGGCACAGACACATGAGATAATGACTGGTCATAGACACATTAGATGATGACAGGTGGTAGACACATGAGATGATGACAGGGAACAGACACATGAGATAATGAATGGTCACAGACACATGAGATAATGACAGGGAACAGACACATGAGATGATGACAGGTCATAGACACATGAGATAACGACTGGGCACAGACACATGAGATAATGACAGGGAACAGACACATGAGATGATGACTGGTCATAGACACATGAGATAACGACTGGGCACAGACACATGAGATAATGACTGGTCATAGACACATTAGATGATGACAGGTGGTAGACACATGAGATGATGACAGGGAACAGACACATGAGATAATGACAGGGCACAGACACATGAGATAATGACAGGGAACAGACACATGAGATGATGACAGGTCATAGACACATGAGATAATGACAGGTCATAGACACATGAGATAACGACTGGGCACAGACACATGAGATAATGACAGGGAACAGACACAAAAGATAATGACTGGTCATAGACACATGAGATAACGACTGGGCACAGACACATGAGATAATGACTGGTCATAGACACATTAGATGATGACAGGTGGTAGACACATGAGATGATGACAGGGAACAGACACATGAGATAATGACTGGTCACAGACACATGAGATAATGACAGGGAACAGACACATGAGATGATGACAGGTCATAGACACATGAGATAATGACAGGTCATAGACACATGAGATAACGACAGGGAACAGACATATGAGATGATGACAGGTCATAGACACATGAGATAACGACTGGGCACAGACATATGAGATAATGACAGGGAACAGACACATGAGATAATGACTGGTCATAGACACATGAGATAACGACTGGGCACAGACACATGAGATAATGACTGGTCATAGACACATTAGATGATGACAGGTGGTAGACACATGAGATGATGACAGGGAACAGACACATGAGATAATGACTGGTCACAGACACATGAGATAATGACAGGGAACAGACACATGAGATGATGACAGGTCATAGACACATGAGATAATGACAGGTCATAGACACATGAGATAACGACAGGGAACAGACACATGACATAATGACTGGTCACAGACACATGAGACAATGACAGGTCATAGACACATGCGATAACGACAGGGAACAGACACATGAGATAATGACTGGTCATAGACACATTAGATGATGACAGGTGGTAGACACATGAGATGATGACAGGGAACAGACACATGAGATAATGACTGGTCACAGACACATGAGATAATGACAGGGAACAGACACATGAGATGATGACAGGTCATAGACACATGAGATAATGACAGGTCATAGACACATGCGATAACGACAGGGAACAGACACATGAGATAATGACTGGTCACAGACTCAAATAAGTCATATCAGGTATTATGCCTACAATGATCCCTGCTAACATCAACAATCACCTCAGTATTATGCCTACAATGATCCCTGCTAACATCAACAATCACCTCAGTATTATGCCTACAATGGTCCCTGCTAACATCAACAATCACCTCAGTATTATGCCTACAATGATCTCTGCTAACATCAACAGTCACGTTAGTACTATGCCTACAATGATCCCTGCTGACATCAACAATCACGTCAGTATTATGCCTACAATGATCCCTGCTAACATCAACAATCACGTCAGTACAGCCTACAATGATCCCTGCTAACATCAACAATCACCTCAGTACTATGCCTACAATGATCCCTGCTAACATCAACAATCACGTCAGTACAGCCTACAATGATCCCTGCTGACATCAACAATCACCTCAGTACTATGCCTACAATGATCCCTGCTAACATCAACAATCACGTCAGTACAGCCTACAATGATCCCTGCTGACATCAACAATCACCTCAGTACTATGCCTACAATGATCCCTGCTAACATCAACAATCACGTCAGTACAGCCTACAATGATCCCTGCTAACATCAACAATCACGTCAGTACAGCCTACAATGATCCCTGCTGACATCATCAATCACCTCAGTACTATGCCTACAATGATCCCTGCTAACATCAACAATCACCTCAGTATTATGCTTACAATGATCCCTGCTAACATCAACAATCACCTCAATACTATGACTACAATGATCCCTGCTAACATCAACAATCATGTCAGTACTATGCCTACAATGATCCCTGCTAACATCAACAATCACGTCAGTATTATGCCTACAGTGGTCCCTGCTAACATCAACAATCACGTCAGTATTATGCCTACAATGATCCCTGCTAACATCAACAATCACGTCAGTACTGTGCCTACAACGATCCCTGCTAACATCAACAATAACGTCAGTACTTTGGTCCCTGCTAACATCAACAATCACGTCAGTACTATGCCTACAATGGTCCCTGCTAACATTAACAATCATGTCAGTATTTTGCCTACAGTGGTCCCTGCTAACATCAACAATCACTTCAGTATTATGCCTACAATGGTCCCTGCTAACATCAACAATCACGTCAGTATTATGCCTACAGTGGTCCCTGCTAACATCAACAATCACGTCAGTATTATGCCTACAGTGGTCCCTGCTAACATCAACAATCACGTCAGTATTATGCCTACAATGGTCCCTGCTTACATCAACAATCACATCAGTATTATGCCTACAATGGTCCCTGCTTACATCAACAATCACATCAGTATTATGCCTACAATGGTCCCTGCTTACATCAACAATCACATCAGTATTATGCCTACAATGGTCCCTGCTTACATCAACAATCACATCAGTATTATGCCTACAATGGTCCCTGCTTACATCAACAATCACATCAGTATTATGCCTACAATGGTCCCTGCTTACATCAACAATCACATCAGTATTATGCCTACAATGGTCCCTGCTTACATCAACAATCACATCAGTATTATGCCTACAATGGTCCCTGCTTACATCAACAATCACATCAGTATTATGCCTACAATGGTCCCTGCTTACATCAACAATCACATCAGTATTATGCCTACAATGGTCCCTGCTTACATCAACAATCACATCAGTATTATGCCTACAATGGTCCCTGCTTACATCAACAATCACATCAGTATTATGCCTACAATGGTCCCTGCTTACATCAACAATCACATCAGTATTATGCCTACAATGATCCCTGCTAACATCAACAATCACGTCAGTATTATGCCTACAATGGTCCCTGCTTACATCAACAATCACATCAGTATTATGCCTACAATGGTCCCTGCTTACATCAACAATCACATCAGTATTATGCCTACAATGGTCCCTGCTTACATCAACAATCACATCAGTATTATGCCTACAATGGTCCCTGCTTACATCAACAATCACATCAGTATTATGCCTACAATGGTCCCTGCTTACATCAACAATCACATCAGTATTATGCCTACAATGGTCCCTGCTTACATCAACAATCACATCAGTATTATGCCTACAATGATCCCTGCTAACATCAACAATCACGTCAGTATTATGCCTACAATGGTCCCTGCTTACATCAACAATCACATCAGTATTATGCCTACAATGGTCCCTGCTTACATCAACAATCACATCAGTATTATGCCTACAATGGTCCCTGCTTACATCAACAATCACATCAGTATTATGCCTACAATGGTCCCTGCTTACATCAACAATCACATCAGTATTATGCCTACAATGGTCCCTGCTTACATCAACAATCACATCAGTATTATGCCTACAATGGTCCCTGCTTACATCAACAATCACGTCAGTATTATGCCTACAATGATCCCTGCTAACATCAACAATCACGTCAGTATTATGCCTACAATGGTCCCTGCTTACATCAACAATCACATCAGTATTATGCCTACAATGGTCCCTGCTTACATCAACAATCACATCAGTATTATGCCTACAATGGTCCCTGCTTACATCAACAATCACATCAGTATTATGCCTACAATGGTCCCTGCTTACATCAACAATCACATCAGTATTATGCCTACAATGGTCCCTGCTTACATCAACAATCACGTCAGTATTATGCCTACAATGATCCCTGCTAACATCAACAATCACGTCAGTATTATGCCTACAATGGTCCCTGCTTACATCAACAATCACGTCAGTATTATGCCTACAATGATCCCTGCTAACATCAACAATCACGTCAGTATTATGCCTACAATGGTCCCTGCTTACATCAACAATCACGTCAGTATTATGCCTACAATGATCCCTGCTAACATCAACAATCACATCAGTATTATGCCTACAATGGTCCCTGCTTACATCAACAATCACGTCAGTATTATGCCTACAATGATCCCTGCTAACATCAACAATCACGTCAGTATTATGCCTACAATGATCCCTGCTAACATCAACAATCACGTCAGTATTATGCCTACAATGGTCCCTGCTAACATCAACAATCACGTCAGTATTATGCCTACAATGGTCCCTGCTTACATCAACAATCACGTCAGTATTATGCCTACAATGGTCCCTGCTAACATCAACAATCACGTCAGTATTATGCCTACAATGGTCCCTGCTTACATCAACAATCACATCAGTATTATGCCTACAATGGTCCCTGCTTACATCAACAATCACGTCAGTACTATGCCTACAATGGTCCCTGCTAACATCAACAATCACGTCAGTATTATGCCTACAATGGTCCCTGCTTACATCAACAATCACGTCAGTACTATGCCTACAATGGTCCCTGCTAACATCAACAATCACGTCAGTATTATGCCTACAATGGTCCCTGCTTACATCAACAATCACATCAGTATTATGCCTACAATGGTCCCTGCTTACATCAACAATCACGTCAGTACTATGCCTACAATGGTCCCTGCTAACATCAACAATCACGTCAGTATTATGCCTACAGTGGTCCCTGCTTCACATGCTGTCGTGCACCATACCGCTATTTGTTTGTTGTCAGATTTACTGTGTGTAGAGCAATGTTGATGGTGCAGAGTCTCACTCACCAGAGCTGTCTTTCTTGATGCCCTTGATCATCTCTAGGTGAGAGATCCTGAACTCCTTCTCGGGAAACATCAGCGTTGCCATGACAGCATGCTTCGAGTGGCTGTGTATCACTGCACCTGCATCTGTCACAGGCGATGGCAAGGATATTCAGGGCAATAGCCAGGACATTCAGGGCAATAGTGAGGACATTCAGGGCAATAGTGAGGACATTCAGGACAATAGCTAGGACATTCAGGGCAATAGCGAGGACATTCAGGGCAATAGTGAGGACATTCAGGACAATAGCCAGGACATTCAGGACAATAGCTAGGACATTCAGGACAATAGCCAGGACATTCAGGACAATAGCTAGGACATTCAGGGCAATAGTGAGGACATTCAGGGCAATAGCGAGGACATTCAGGGCAATAGTGAGGACATTCAGGACAATAGCCAGGACATTCAGGACAATAGCTAGGACATTCAGGGCAATAGCGAGGACATTCAGGGCAATAGTGAGGACATTCAGGACAATAGCCAGGACATTCAGGACAATAGCCAGGACATTTAGGGCAATAGTGGACAATAGCTAGGACATTCAGGACAATATCTTGGGCATTCAAAGCAATATCTTGGACATTCAGGACAATAGCTAGGACATCATCATGGCAACAGACAATCAATGTCACATGCCTCATGTTTCCTGTGTCCAAATTACTATCTTAAACACAATCTGGGTTTAGTAAAAGTCACCATCAGTTGGTGTAGGCACACATCCAGGACCTACTTCTCATCGTGTAGGCATTCATGAAGAGAGGTGTGCACTGGCTCTTCTTGAGTTTCTTACTGGGCGGCGGTTCTGTGATATCCTTATTGTCGATCGTCTGGACGAATAGGTCGTCTGGCTGGAAGAGAGCGTGATGTAACGGGTCCATGAGTACACTGTTGCATGTTACTACCAGTATGTGATGAGTGAGTTTGGTTTTACGCCGATCTTAGCAATATTCCAGCAATATCACGGCGGGGGACACCAGAAATGGGCTTCACACATTGTACCCATGTCGTGATTCGAACCTGGGTCTTCGGCGTGACGAGCGAACGCTTTAACCACTAGGCTACCCGACCGCCCCACCAGTATGTGAACCAGCTGACATCAAGGCCTGATTTCTTCATCTACAAAGTTGTGTGTACAAAAAATCTGGTTGGTTACGCTTAAAAAAAATGAATTGGTTCTCAGGCGATGACTTTTGAACATAGAGTGTTTGTTTGTTTGTTTGTTTGTTCAAACTAGTATGTAATAGGGCTGGGACGGGTAACTCGGGTACTCGGGTCAGGTGGGTACTGAGTAGGACCCGGGTACCCACAGGACTACCCGGACCCGTGGTTAGTCACGTGATATATTGTTTGACAAAAACGATCTAGAACTCTATGGTTACACTACAAGTCACTAATGACTATGCACCCATTCCTTCAGATTTTTCATATGGTTGAATAAAGTTATAACTTAATTCAACTTCAGTGTATGAATGACCAGATTGTTTAATACATGTGTCTAAATACGTTTTGCCAGGGCTATGCTAAAAATGTTCCCAATTGGACATTTTGACACATCTCCTGAGACCTATAGTGGGTACCAGGGTAGGGTCGGTTAATAGGGGGTGGGTACCCGGGTAGTAAATTTGGACTTGTCTAAGCCCAAGTATGTAACCAAATAAACAATTGTGTACCATCAACCTGGGATAGGGCCTCCCTACATAAACAAGCATACAAACAGAAGATGCACAGTAAAGCAGTTCACATGTAAAGGGAAGTAACTATACTAGCTCACATTGTTTTTAACGATTAGGATTTTTTATTTGTTCAAAAATGGAAATAAAAGCGAAACGTGCAGCAGACTTTATGATGATGCGGGCAGTGCCTGAGAACCAAGACTTTTATTATTTTTAGCCTAAGAAGAAAAAGATATAACAAAAAAACAAAAAAACAATTTTGTATCTGTTCTTGAAGTGTAAAACAAGTGTAAGTTGCTTGTGGCCTAATGTAACAGAGAATCCAAACAGGGCTGTATGATGTCTGATGTCCGATGTCTGATGTCTGATGTCTGATGTACTTATAAAGAAATATTGAATGGCTTATGAGTTATGCTCCACAAAATGAGCCCCCAATTTTAACCAACTTAAGTCCAACTTGTTGCCTTGGAAATGCACAGTCTAAAAAGTAACAAGATTCTAGCAAAAGGCACCAGTTCGGACCATGCTTGATGTGTTAAAACAGTTTCGTGAAGAAATATTGAACGGTTTATGAGCTATGCTCCGGAAATGAACCACACTGTCATTTAGGAATTATCTCTAAAACATATTGTCTGTTGTCTATTGTGGAATATTTCACTCTTTATTGAAATGAAAGAAGCAACTGCTTCAAGAATTTCTTCAAATGATCATCGAGTTTGGTTCATCTTCGCTTTGAACAGTTTTTCAGTATTATCATGGCATGTGAGCCATAATATTTGTACCACTGAAATATTTGTACCACTGAAATGTTTGTGCCACTGAAATGTTTGTACCACTGAAATGTTTGCAGCACTGAAATATTTGTACCCTTGCAATGTTTGTACCATTGAAATGTTTGTACCACTGAAATGTTTGCACCACTGAAATATTTGTGCCCTTGAAATATTTGTACCACTGAAATATTAATACCATTTGAAATATTTGTACCACTGAAATATTTGTATCACAGAAATATTTGTACCACTGAAATATTTGTACCACTGAAATATTAATACCATTTGAAATATTTGTACCACTGAAATTGTACCACTGAAATATTTGTATCACAGAAATATTTGTAATACAGATATGTTGGTACCACAGAAATATTTGTACCACAGAAATACTGTCTACCACAGAAATATCCGTCCTACCTGAATCCTTTCCTTCTGTACCCCTGATGGAGCAATGTAGATCTCCTCACTGGAAGCAGAAAATGTCCATCGATTAAACTTAAATACACTGAGTGAAAATGTGTCTCATACACCAACACGATAATTAAACGTTAAATAGCAGACACACAAAATGATTCAAATAGTATCATGAACATCTTCAATATGTGTACATGATATGTTAACTTGTACATGTAGGATTTTTAATGTGCAAAAATAACCATAACATAACACACTTAAGAAATGAAACAAGGATACGCATGATCTATGGAAGAAAAATGATTAGGATAATGATTAACCATGTGCAGTCATCTTTGAGAATGTTTGTTTGTTTGTTGTTTAACGCCGCTCTCAGCAATATTCAAGCTAGACAACAATTGGGATACAGTGAGATGCATCAACCAAGTCAGCGAGCCTGACCACCTGATCCCGTTAGCCGCCTCTTACGACAAGCATAGTCGCCTTTTATGGTAAGCATGGGTTACTGAAGACCTATTCTATCCCCGATCGTCATGGGTCTCTATTTGAATATAATTTTGATGAAAAAGTTGAAAGATCATAAATTTCGTGGTTTATGCTGACAGCCTGAGAAGTTCCAAAAGATATTCTACAAGACAGATATACTTTTCCAGAATTTAATTGCCCGTAATTAATGGTGCATATAACACATGAGTGTGTATTATACACGAATAAATAAGTCTTGTGTACATTGATCAATTGGAAGGGGTGCTAATTGGGATTGTTCACTAGCCAATATATTAGCAAATATCACCATGGGCGCTTATTAGAGCGGGGTGCTTATTACGTCAAATACAGTTACTGTAGTTTCCTGTCATTTGCAAATCCACCTGCACGTACACATGATCAGCGTTTGTTCTGAGTGACCATGGCAAGCATCCCCTTCAAATCTTGACACTATGATTGGCATGGTGTGTCTAAAAAATTGGAATCAGGGGCAGAAACAGTTGGTCAAATCATAACAGTGTTTAATTATTTTTCTCATAAATGGGAGTCATGGGAGAATTAAGGGTAAGGTGGGTCATAAGAAACAAAAACTGTACTGAAAATGTTTTGCCCCATGTTTTCTCATTGCTGATGGAATGGAATGACAAGTGTTTAGTTTTTATGTAATCTACAATGCAAATGTCACAAAAGATATAGTCCACAAAAATATGTGAATGTTACCCCAGCTTAATGCTGATTCCGCCGCCTGTGCCTGTTGCCCAGCCATTGTTGTAGAACAGTCTACAGAGCTCTGGAATCAGGTTCCGTGGATGTTCCTGGGAAATTAACGCAGAAAGATGAAACTAAAATGTGAACATTAGTTGTAGTTGTCAACCCTAGAGTGATGGTTTTCAGACAACTGAAACATTCTGTAAACTTTAGTCATACATTGAGGCCCTGACATTTAAAATCTAAATGAAGTCATTGACATAATAAAATATATGGCATTTCCCTTAAAAAACAGACACTATTTTTTCAATCTGTACAATGGAAATGCATTCATATTTTAGGTATTGTTGTTGTTGTTGTTTGTTGTTTAACGCCGCACTCAGCAATATTCCAGCTATATGACGGCGGTCTGTAAATAATCGAGTCTGGACCAGACAATCCAGTGATTGACATCATGAGCATCGATCCACGCAATTGGGATCGATGACATGCATCAACCAAGTCAGCGAGACTGACCACCCGATCCTGTTAGTCGCCTTTTACGACAAGCATAGTCGCCTTTTATGGCAAGCATGGGTTGCTGAAGACTTATTCTACCCCGATCTTCATGGGTCTTTTAGGTACTGCATGATAGCACAGTGAGTATGATTGAGGTTAATATGCATATTTCATTTATAGGGCCATTTCATCTGTAAATTTGCATTTAAACAGCGTAAAATCATTTAAACACGTACTGTCGGCGTGCATAAAACAATCAGCAATTCTAAACATCTGCCACATAGGCACATACGGGCATTCCCCAGTTCAACAAATCATCATATATTAGAACATATATAGATCCAATTATACTACTAAAAATTAATTAAAGACCATCGATTATTTCATATTACTATAGTTAGTCTGTCATGACAGATTAAAAAGAGTAACATGAAAGAGTCGCGTGGTCCTTAACTTCTTTTATTTTGATAAGGAGATATAATATAATCGTCAAAATAAGGGAATATACACGCAGCTGTCAAATCGTATTAGATATATATGCAGTTCTAATATTCTAAACATCCTGCACAATAAACTGTTCCTGTATTTAGCTAACCGGGGAGTACTTGGCATCCATGACCTCGAGTGACACGGCACACAGATACCACCAGGTTTTGATGTTGAATTCACAGTGTGATCGCAATCGTAAACAGTGACATGTGCGTGATCGTATGAAGGTCAAGGCTGATTTATTGGACTGGTTTTACACACAGTTTGCGGAAACAATGTGATGGTGCGTTTCAGCGATTACTTATGTGTTCTCGGCATAGTAACGGTCAAATTTATGAATATATGGATTTTTCAAGGATTACCCACGAAGTGAAGAGGCGGGTGGTGAGACACTAAATCCGTACGCCACACGAAGCATTTTTGCGAGTCACTGTTTTCGAAAGTGTGTGTTTTTCGTATGAATGTACTTACAGAAGTAACAGAACATTACTGCACGGTCAGATACCTCAAACTGAACATACCGACGCAACTGATATGAAAACACTCTTATTGATATCAAGCATGAAACGCTGTGTGCAGAGGCGCAACTAGGCTAATTTTAAGTGTAAGAAAATGTAATTTTCGGAAGATCCGCTAGGGGGGTTGAGGGGCATGCTCCCCCAGAATTATTTTTTTTTAGATGATCTCAATTTGTTTTGCTATTTCCTGCATTGTGGGAACGTTTATGTCAGATTTTTATTTGCACCAAAATTGGTAATTTTTTATTTTATTTTTTATTAGTATATATATATATATTTACGTGTTTCACCAAAACATTTTCGACTTTCATGCAAGAATGCAAGAAACATCTATGATGATAAATGAAATTTAAACATTAAAACGAATCGATAATATTCTTTATGTGTTTTTACATGTTCATTCATAGAATGTAATGGTTATTTATTTATTCATATTTTAACGCGAGCCGGCCTATCATTATAATGAAACTGAGCGCCGTTTGCTTTCGTCACAAAACCATCTACCACTAAAATCCTTCAGTGCCTAAAGATTCCGATTTTCAAGTTAGACAATAAATATATTAGGTTCGTCCGTGTAGAGGGGCGGTCGGGTAGCCTAGTGGTTAAAGCGTTCGCTCGTCACGCCGAAGACCCAGGTTCGATTCCCGACATGGGTACAATATATGCGCCGTGATATTGCTGGAATATTGCTAAAAGCGGCGTAAAACCATACTCACTCACTCACTCACTCGTCCGTGTAGAGTTTGAATTAATAGTTTACTGCATAGATGGTAAATTGAGGTTTACTTATAAAAAATGTGGATGTTTTAGGTGTAAAGAAAATGTGCTTTTTTTAGGTGTAAGCAATTGCTATTCTGCTACGATGGTAGTTTCGCCCCTGGTTTGTAGATCACGGTTATCGTTTCTTATTCTGAAGGTAACCCTGACCTTCGTTTGAAGCTGCCACTGACACAACATGCAAGCAGACTCGACCCGTGAAAACCAGGGTAAGAATAGGTCTTCAGTAAACCATGCTTGTGTTTATATAAGAGGCGCCTATGCTTGTCATAAGATGCGACTAACGAGATCAAGAGGGCAGGCTCGCTGACTTGGTTAGTGCATGTCAACATATCCCAATCGCGAAGATCGATACTCATGGTGCCAATCACTGGATTGTCTGGTTCAGGCTCGATTATATACAGACCGCCGTCATATAGCTGGAATATTGCTGAAAGCGGCGTTAAACAACAAACAAACAAACATTCTCAAAGATGACTATACATGGTTAATCATTATCTTAATCATTTTTCTTAAATAGATCAAGCGTATCCTTGTTTCATTTCTTAAGTGTGTTATGTTATGGTTATTATTTGCACATTAAAAATCCTACATGTACATATCATGTACACATATTGAAGATGTTCATGATACTATTTGAATCATTTTGTGTGTCAGCTATTCAACGTTTAATTATCGAGATGGTGTATGAGACACATTTTCACTCAGTGTATTTAAGTTTAATCGATGGACATTTTCTGCTTCCAGTGAGGAGATCTACATCGCTACATCAGGGGTACAGAAGGAGCGGATTCAGGTAGGACGGATATTCCTGTGGTAGACAGTATTTCTGTAGTACAAATAGTTCTGTGATACAAATATTTCAGTGGTACAAATATTACGGATCACGTGCTATGATAATACTGAAAAACCGTTTAGTGTATTTAAGTTTAATCGATGGAAATATTCTGCTCCCACAGAGGAGATCTACATTGCGTGTGCGGCGTTCAAAAAATAAAATGCAAACAGACTCGAATTTGTTGACTTTTTCACTTCTTCAACACAAGGGAGCGCGTCAAAACGGCTTTAAGTCAGAACGCCTCCATAGGCAGTAAAAAAAGGCCACAAATGGCCACAACGAAAATAGGCATAACAGCAACACAGAACATAAAGAAGAGAAGCTCAAGTATTGTGTCACATTAATTGTATTATATACTTTGTATAACAGTTCATAACGCCATATGCACACAGATTTAAATTCAGCACTAACTCAGCACCACACATCACAAATGACACATCCCTGTCGACCCGTGAAGATTCCGGGGTAGAATAGGTCTTCAGCAACCCATGCTTGCCGTTTTCAAAAAGGATGACTATGCTTGTCGTAAGAGGCGACTAACGGGATCGGGTGGTCAGACTCGCTGACTTAAAGAAAGGTTGATGCATGTCATCGATGCCAATTGCGTGGATCGATGCTCATGATATTAATCACTGGATTGTCTGGTCCAGACTAGATTATTTACAGACCGCCGTCATATAGCTGGAATATTGCTGAGTGCGGCGTTAAACAACAAACCAACCAACCAACCAACCAACATCCCTGTCACATATTAAACCCTTGGTCCCCAGGTTGGAAGCGCATATGTTAAGCAGCTCAGCTGGTGTTACGTCGCCTCCCTTGTACAGTCTTACTACTCACGAATAGATTAGTTTGAAATAAAAACACTGAAAGGTTTCATTAGGTTAAAAATTGTAATAACATATAACATGTGTACTCTTTACACACCCTGCTCACCTTGAATATTCATTTATCATTATCATGGACATTTTGACTTTTTTATTGTGGCCGTCATGACTTTTTTGTGGCCGTTTTGACTATGGGTTTGTGGCAATTTTTACTTTTCTTATGGCCGTTTTCACTTGGGAGTTTTGAGGCCGTTGTGACATGAGGCCGTTTTGACTACAACCCACAGTAACATGTATGTCGTTCATGATTATCGCTGATAGATTTCAGCAGCCAGGCACCCCTGAATTGTGACAAAACTATCAGCATGGTAGGATAAGATTGCATTTTGCACAGGCAGAGGCCATAAAATGTCAGAGTCTCGTGACGGGATTCGAACCACCACGGAACCACGGACCCGATGAGGCTAGGTGTTATGCATGCACACAAAAAACTCATTTCTTGAGGTACGAATTTACATACACCCTCTCTCGGCGGCGGTTCTGACTATTTGGTCCGAGGTCGGACGCCTTGTCCACATGATCAAAGAGGTTAACCATTGTAGCACATTAGAGACCACAGAGTTGCGTCCCTTGGGCACGCCAGAAACCTATGATTGTGGGTTGGAATCCCGGTTCGCCCCGATTATGTTTCTAGGTTTGTCAGCACCATACCCGTGCTCGTGGGTTTCACCGAAGTGGTAAACGTCTGTGACCTGCATCACTTCGGGCTTTCCTCCCACATTAAGCTGACACGCCGTGATATAACTGCAATACTGTTAAAAGCGGCGTTAAACCCAACTCACTCACTCACTCATTAGAGACCATCGTTCTGAAATCCGTTTTGATTACATTTAATGTTAAAGGGGCACTGATCTAACGCAATTCCCCGGGACTGGTTGTTGCCTTTGTTATTGTTTTTTCCCTTGAGTACCCGGATGATATAGCAGAATCCTAGACTAGTTCGCGACCTGTGCTGCGCAATTCGTAAGCGCATTTGTCACTTTTATTGATAGTATAAGGGCGTATGGTCACATTGATCAACAAAATGAAATACAGTTTTGGAAATAATAAGTTATTTTACAAATTTACTCCGGGTACTCACGGGGGGGAAACAATAACAAAGGCAACAACCAGTCCCGGGGAATTGCATTAGATCAGTGCCCCTTTAATGTTCTATCAGAACATTGAGGCGCCAAGTCATTGTTTTTATCACCCCTGAAAGAAAAAGAGAGAGACACATATCGACCATGGTGTGTTGGAAGCTCTGCATCGATTACAACCACGGAGTCTATATAAGGCAAACAACGTAGAAAAGCACACCGATCGATAGCTCATATAAAGAAACATTTGAAAGACATTTAACAAAAAAACTAGATAATGAACTGTATGTTCACAATGTTTACAAAACACTGTATTCGAAACATGAGCGAGGCTCCGAAATACAACCAAGAGACGAACCCCAGTTGAATATACGTTTTTGATGCAGTTACCGATAATCGTTATGAAATATATGTTTTACCACATTAGAGCTGTTAGACCTATGCATTATTCTCTTTGTATGCCATACAATACAAATAACAAAATAATTATGCCACGAGATCTGTAGCGAGATCCCCAGCTCACCGGCAAAATGGCGTCTGCCATTCTAAGGTTTGGCAACCTCACTAGGGTTGTCAACACCTTCAAATGTATATCTTACCGCCAACTACCGCATCTGTTGCAACGCCAGATTCATCTCCAAACATTAAATTATGGTATGCTCCCAAATCTTCTATATGGAGAATAACCTATCTTATAACACAGTACATTGTCGACTTTGTAAAGATTTTGGTGCTGTCAATGTCATACTACTGTCCTTGAGTAATATTATCGCAGTGTTCTCAAGAATTGACCAGTGACAACAGTTAATCAGCTTGTTAAGCTCTGTTCAGGGTAATCTTTGAAACACTGTTTTGAAAATCACATTCTGACTTCAGTGTAAAGTAAGAGATCATGGTATCAGGTGGGCAAAACTGTAAAGGGTGAGATCTGTCCGATCTCTGGTCATCAGTTTTGATTTGTGCCCACAGACCAATTATCGTCATTTTTTTCAGTGTTAATTAAAGTATAATGTACAAATGTGCTTATTTCAGACCTTGGAAAACGTTTTAGCCAATTTCTGTTTATACTAGGAATAGTGGTAATCAAAACAATGGAAATGGTGTTGGCTCTAATATGGTCTGCGGCTTGATGACGACTGAAGGGGTCGTTGTCGGCACAGGTACTACAGAAATGTACCTGGGGTACAATTTGTATACAGAAATGTATACCCAAGACAAAAATCAGAATACAGAAACATACCCTAGGATGAGTCCATTCCGCACTTCCTGCTTTCCAAACCGCAGTTAAAATCATTCTTGCAGTACCTTCGCCTTCATCAGGAGGAACTTATTGATTATCTCATGAAGCTGAATGTCTTTGACAAGGCCGTAATTGTACGCAAGGGTGGGGAGCTGTTGTCAAAAGATTGTGTAGAAGTAGCATGCATGCACTCATAATCTGGCAAAACATGAGTCGGTTTCGGTTTCAGGTTGGGGAATATGGACTCGTCCGCCGTTTACGTTTCTGTACGTTTCTGTATTCTAATTTTGGCTGGGGTACATTATTGTATACAGAAACGTACCTGGGGTACATTTCTGTAGTACCTGTGCCGACAACCCCTTCAGCGTTGATAACTGTAGCAAGTAGCCTTGATTGTCAGATTGTGAAACAGTAGTTAGTAACACTTGATGTAGCATTATGATATTTTTTTCAAGTTTGCAGTGCAACATTGCATTGTATATGCAACATTGCATTGTATAAGTTTGCAGCGATATAGTGATATGACAATTAACTAACAGGATCTGCAGCTATATGTGCCAGTTTTCAATATTCCCCGAGAATTAAATAACTTCAATGTGTTAAAATTAGATATTGTATTGTGTATTTTGGGTATTCATGAACTTAAAGATTGATATGATATAAGTGGATTTTTTATGGTGACTGAGGAAGGGTCTAAAATCTTTACACCTTCAGTATGTTGAGTTGCAAAGTCATAGCCATGTATTACTCTGCTTTTGCTGTCTGACATCCACATGATTGAAAATGTATATTGTCAAATGTTATGAACACAATTTATGGCCTCTGATGCTGTGAGGTGAGGTGAAATTGGGTTTAACGTCGCGTCCAAGATTATTGCACTTATATAGCGACGTGCATGCACGTGTATGTGTGTGTGTGGCTGCTTGTACTAGTCCGGACTGATGCCGATTTATAGTGCTAGCTCACTGAGATACCATGCCGCAGTTTAACATGAATACCCCACTCAGACACAGTATACTGACTCCGAGCCGACCAGTCCTTGTTTTAGCCCCTTAATGCCGAGCGCCAGACAGGGTAACAACAAGTACAATCTTTTAACGTCTTTTTGTATGACGCGGCCCGGGATCGAACCCTGGACCTTCTGCTCTCCGGGCGGACGCTCTACCACAAGACCACGGAGGCGGTCCTCTGATGCTGTGTATGTCAGTAACAGTTGCATAGGCAGTAACATCGATTTATTTGTGTTTGTCCACATGTAAGTCTTATAAAAATATTTTCCTAAGTAAAGATTGAGATTTAATCAAATGTATATGGTTTGGGGACAAGGAGCCATAGACAATTCAACCATGTTCTGTTGTCATGGTTATGTGCACTCTCCCAGGGCTTGTGAAGACCTGTGACAAGTCTTGATATGTTTGAGTTTATATAAATATGTTTGTTTGTTTGTTTGTTGTTTAACACCGCACTCAGCAGTATTCCAGCTATATGACGGCAGTCTGTAAATAATCAAGTCAGGACCAGACAATCCAGTGATTGACATCATGAGCATCGATCCACGCAATTGGGATTGATGACATGCATCTACCAAGTCAGCGAGCCTGACCACCCGATCTCGTTAGTCGCCTCTTACGACAAGCGACTATGCCTTTTATGGCAAGCATGGGTTGCTGAAGACCTATTCTACCCTGGATCTTCACAGGCAGTTTTTTATCAATAGCTTACATCAGGTGTTTGTTTAAACTATATTAATTTCATTTAATCATTTTTTTTTTGAAGATGCGATGAAACTCTTGATGCCAGCGCTGTCTCCAACGATGTCTGAGGGCACAATTGTCAAGTGGTTAAAGAAAGAAGGTAAACAGTGCACATGACTAAATGGTTTGACCAAAACATTGGTACCATGGTAACATGTCAACATTTTCTGTATTTGTCAGGCGATGTATTGTGTAAAATCATGTGTTTGTATTGTGGTGAGTCCAGGGGATGTATTGTGTGATATCATGTGTTTGTGATGTGGTGAGTCCAGGGGATGAATTGTGTGACATCATGTGTTTGTGATGGGGTGAGTCCGGGGGATGTATTGTGTGATATCATGTGTTTGTGATGGGGTGAGTCCAGGGGATGTATTGTATGAAATCATGTGTTTTTGATAGTGTGAGTCCGGGGGATGAATTGTGTGACATCATGTGTTTGTGATGGGGTGAGTCCAGGGAATGTATTGTGTGAAATCATGTGTTTGTGATGCAGTGAGTCCGGGGGATGTATTGTGTGAAATCATGTGTTTTTGATAGTGTGAGTCCGGGGGATGTATTGTGTGAAATCATGTGTTTGTGATGGGGTGAGTCCAGGGGATGTATTGTATGAAATCATGTGTTTGTGACGGGGTGAGTCCAGGGAATGTATTGTGTGAAATCATGTGTTTGTGATGGGGTGAGATGGGGGATATATTGTGTGATATCATGTGTTTGTGATGTGGTGAGTCCGGGGGATGTATTGTGTGAAATCATGTGTTTGTGATGTGGTGAGTCCAGGGGATGTTTTGTGTGACATCATGTGTTTGTGATGGGGTGAGTCCGGGGGATGTATTGTGTGACATCATGTGTTTGTGATGGGGTGAGATGGGGGATATATTGTGTGATATCATGTGTTTGTGATGTGGTGAGTCCGGGGGATGTATTGTGTGAAATCATGTGTTTGTGATGTGGTGAGTCCAGGGGATGTGTTGTGTGACATCATGTGTTTGTGATGGGGTGAGTCCGGGGGATGTATTGTGTGACATCATGTGTTTGTGATGTGGTGCGTCCGGGGGATGTATTGTGTGATATCATGTGTTTGTGATGTGGTGAGTCCGGGGGATGTATTGTGTGACATCATGTGTTTGTGATATAGTGAGTCCAGGGGATGTATTGTGTGATATCATGTGTTTGTGATGGGGTGAGTCCAGGGGATGTGTTGTGTGACATCATGTGTTTGTGATGTGGTGAGTCCAGGGAATATATTGTGTGACATCATGTGTTCGTGATGCAGGTGATGTGGTGGGTCCAGGGGATGTATTGTGTGACATTCAGACAGACAAGGCTGTGGTCAGCATGGAGAACGAGGAGGACGGAATCCTGGCTAAAATTCTGGTGAGTTTATGTGAAACCTGAGTTTGACGAATTGTTCATGTAATTGCTGCTGACCAGAGGTAGAACCTGGTTTGTTTCATCAAGCCTATAACATATTACTTCTGAAACTGAAGTAAGAATGTTTTGTGATATGAACATAGTCCAGAGGATGAATTTTCTATAATTGAAGGTGCCTGACAACACTAAGGATGTGAAGATCGGGACGTTGATCGCGGTGATGGTGGAGGAGGGGGATGACTGGCAGAATGTGGAGATCCCCGCTCACACTGCCCCAGATACAGGTCCCCCTGCCCCTCCTACACCACCTCCCAGCACACCCAGCCCTGTTGCTACCCCTGCTGCAGCAGCAACAACAGCAGCATCAGCGTCAGTGTCTAGCAAGGAGTGAGTGCCTAATTACCTAACTAATGTTTACGTTTTATTATTACAGCTCTGTTCAATAAGTTTTTGTTTGATTTGTTTGTTTGTTGTTGTTTAAAACTGCACTCAGCAATATTCCAGCTATATGACGGCTGTCGGTAAATACTTGAGTCTGGACCAGACAATCAAGTGATTGACATGTCATCATGAGCATCGATCCACAAAATTGGGATACAATGACATGCATCAACCAAGTCAGCAAGCCTGACCACCCATTCCCGTTTGTCACCTTTTACTGTTCAATAAGTAAATGTATCTGGGTATTTGCTGTCATTGCAACCTTACAGAATGGGTCATTGCTCATAACATCAATCACTATATTGTATGGTCCAGATTTCAATCATTTACTTCTCACCATCATACAGCTGGAATGTTCCTGAGTGTGGCATTAATGTTAATAAAGTAAAACCCTGTTTACTGTTGAATGAGATTGACTGCAAGGCATCTTCCAAAGGCAAAGGTGTTAACTTGACTTGCCTCGGGAAGATGACTGTAAGAGTGTGTCTGTTGCAGCCTCCATGCTGCAGGGGTAGGGCCGTCTGTGAGGAAGCTGGCAGAAGAGTATGGTGTCAGCCCCGCCCAAGTCACTGGTACCGGCCCACACGACAGGGTCACGAAGGGGTGAGACCATTTTATTTATGTATGTTTTGATGTGACTGATTTCAGGTAAAATTGCCATATTATGAGTTGTAGCAGGATCACGAGGGGTACATTGGGTTTTATGCGTCCTGCTGGAGTGAGTGAGTGAGTATGGTTTTACGCCGCTTTTAGCAATATTCCAGCAGTATCACGGCGGGGGACACCAGAAATGAGCTTCACACATAGTACCCATGTCGGGAACCGAACACGGGTCTTCGGCGTGACGAGCGAACGCTTTAACCACAAGGCTATCCGACCGCCCCCAAAGGGTCTTAAAGTAATGAAACCGTGTAGTGTACTGTACTGTAAGCTTTGATCATTACTACAGTACCTTTATGTAGCTTGTCCAGAATTTGGGAGACTAAATATTATTGTACATCCCATGGGACACACAATATTTTTACGGGGCAGGGGTGGCCCAGTCATCTAAGGTGCCAGGATTTCCAGTGCAGAGTTTGGTCCCTTGGGCACGCAAGAAACCTATGATTGCGGGTTCGAATCCCGATTTGCCCCGATTATGTTTCTAGGTTTGTCAGCACCATACCCGTGCTCGTGGGTTTCAGCGAAGTGGTAAACGTCTGAAAACCGCATCACTTCAGGCTTTCCTCCCACATTAAGCTGACACGCCGCGATATAACTGGAATACTGTTAAAAGTGGTATTAAACCCAACTCACTCACAATTATTTTTTTACTATATTCCGTACAGTGGTCACAATTGAATGTTTTTATGTATTTCATGAGATATCATAATCATTAATCCTTGCAGGGATGTGTTGAACTACATCAAGTCCAAGAACCTAGCCAAGAGAGAACTAATGGCAACCCCAGCTCCAGGGCCAGCAGCTGCCACACCTTCTTCAGCCCCACCCCCCCAGGCTCTGCCTCCATTAGAGGGGGAGCCTTTCACAGACATCCCCAACACAAGTATGAGGAAAACTATTGCCAAGAGACTCACAGAATCTAAGGTGTGTAGAGTTGTCACATGGTAATTCCTACAAGGCATATAGATAGTCAACCTCCCAGTCTGCAAATGACCACCCAGAGCGGAAGGTCCAGGGTTCGATCCCCGGCCATGTCATACCAAAAGATGTTAAAAGATCCTACTTGTTGTTACCCTGTCTGGCGCTTGACATTGAGGGGATAAAACAAGGACTGGTCGGCTCGGAGTCAGTATACTGTGTCAGAGTGGGGTATTCATGTTAAACTGATGCATGGTATCTCAGTGGGGTAGCACTATTAATTGGCATCAGCCCAAACTAGTTCAAGCAGACACACACATGTGCATGCACATCGCTATAAAGTGCAAAAATCTTGAACCTGACGTTAAACCCCATTTCACCTTACCTCACCCCAGTCTGCGAAATCTGCAAAGATTCAAACTCTTGCTACCGTATTCGACGTAATAAGCGCCCAGGGCGCTCTCAAAATTACAAATAGTGGGCTCTTAGTAGAATATTATTTTGTCGAAAAAAAAACAGTTGAAAGATAAATTTCATAGTTTATGCTGACAGCCTGAATTGTTTATGTACGAGAGATATATTTTTGCAGAATTTAATTGCCCATAATTAAGGGTGCATATAACACACGAGTGCGTATTATAAGCGAATAAACAAGTATTGTGTACATTGATCAACCGGAAAGGGTGCTAATTGGGATTGTTCATGAGCCAATATATCAGCAAATATCGCTGATATGTCGAATACGGTAATTACTCTATTCTTCCAAACTGGCCTCCATTCTGCAGCGGACAGCTGTTCGGAACACCACTTGACTCCTATTCTCATTTCGTCTTTTTTCGTGCCCCTTGTGATGTGACAAATGGCATAGATGCCATGGCCATGAACCCAAACAAAATACCTTCACATTATTGAAAGACACATGTACACCTAGTCTGATTGTCAAGAGGGGCCCCACTCCCACCCCAAAGGTAAGTATTAAAAATGAGGCACCAATGTTCTCCATCCTCCCTCCCTAGTTGAGAAATCCAAAAGACAAAAGGTAAGAAAGTATGTGTGTGATTGATATTTGTATTTCATGAGATATGTCTGTCCAGTCAAGGTTACTTGCCCCTGTGATCACCTCTCTGTTGTCCTGTTTCAGACAACAATCCCCCATTCCTATGCATCAATGGACATGAACATCGGACCTGTGTCACGACTCAGGAAACAACTCGCAGGCAAGTCATACGAGATACCTTTGTCAGTAGCAGCAGTACCAAGTAGTATATAAGCAATCTAATAAACAATGACATCCGATGAAGAAAAGCAAGATTTGTCTATTGTTTTATGCCCTTTATTATCCATGGGAGTTATGTCCCTTCTATGTCCCTCCTATTGACCAATCAGATTCCACCTCTCATATCACTTGCATTTGTTTCAAACAAAATGGCAGTGCCCAGTCAAAGCGATCTGATCAATAATCAAGATCTATGTTGTGATGTAACAGATCTTACTTTGCGAAATGTATCAAGTCATGTGAGCACCTTGATTAAAAACATGAAAAGATTTGGAAAATGTCTGTTGACACTGAGTTGGTGGTATACATGCTTTGCAAATCCTGCAGTCGACCAAAATTTGCACAACAGTTTATGAACTGGATGTCAATGTTGTCACAACATTTTGATTGGACTGCATAGACTCGTAAGTCCAGCCAAAATATAACTCCATTCTACCAGCCTACTTCGGCATTGGTTGAAACTGGACTTTTATAGTCAGTTATCTCCCTTGCCTCAGGAAGATGCAGGCTCCTCACAGCGATAGCCCGTTCGCGGAGCTCTCTATACTATCGCTGTCACCAGCTGACCGTTATGTTTACAAACAAGTGACGACTGTCATGATGCCGAATACGATTAGCGCTGCTAAATAAATTTCTTCGTTTGTCAATTTGAATTTCTGTTTCATTAAAACTATCGTGTTATTGATATAGTAAGAATGTAAGGGAGAAGTTGGTTGATTTTCCGTTAGTCTGCAATCTCGAACCAATCTGATTATTAAAACAACAAAGTAAATTCGTCTGGAGAACATGGTCAGTCGTAAACCTTTTCAAAATGAAATATCATGCCATTCCCAAAGACATAAACAAAAGTATCAACGTTACTACATTGTAATGTAATTCTTGTAATGGCCGCCCCCACACTGGTGGCAGCGATGTTACTGAGAGTGTAACGAAGGTGTCCCGTGCTGGGAAAGAGCTTGAGGAAGATGGTCTGGTCAAGGCTAATTTACTTTTAGGCTGCTGTAATATGCCGTATATTATGGGATACAGAGACCAAAATGTTATTGGCCAACATCCTAACCCAAGATTCCTTGACAATAGTGTACAGCAAGTAACCAAGAAATCTGCAACTGAACAGTTTAGCCGTCCGTTGCTTGTATTAAAAAAATGTGATGTTTATGCATATACTTTTGACCTCCACTTATTACTCAGTGCTATGGAAATAGAAACAGTTGTTCAGAACTGTTGATGTTTTTATGTACTTCTGATAATTGATTGTATTTACTTCTCTTTCAGATGAAGGTGTGAAAGTTTCGATAAATGATTTTATCATCAAGGCAGCTGGTATTGCTCTGCAGGTATGAGACACACTGATATTTTGATGAAATTGTGTGCTCAGTTTGAAAAAAAAGATAAACTGCCCAACAAAAAAGGTGACATTTCGACACCATCCAAATTCCTTTTGGAATCCTTTCACTTTTCTTGAGCCAGTATACAGCAACTTTAGTGTAAACAAGTCTATTGTCCAATATTGGGAGCAAATAATATCGTTCTTTGCAACAATTGTTCTGCGACTGAGTGTCCATACCAAGACAAAAGTGAAGCCAAAAACATGCTAGCATTGAACTTGTCAAAGGAAACCCAAGTTTTCTAATAAAAAGGTAGCGATGTAGCATGTACCAGAAGGAAAATATTGGGCAAACGTTCCACCATGGGGTGTCTGAGTTAGAACTGGTCCGCTGCAAACCTGTACTTGTTGTAAGAGGCGCCCTAATGGACTGCGTGGTCAGACTCGGTTTACAATGTGTTCGTGAGTGAGTTGGGTTTAACACCGCTTTTAACAGTATTCCAGTTACATTGCGGCGTGTCAGCTTAATGTGGGAGGAAAGCCCGAAGTGATGCAGGTCTCAGACGTTTACCACTTCGGTGAAAACCACGAGCACGGGTATGGTGCTGACAAACCTAGAAACATAATTGGGGCGAACCAGGATTCGAACAATGTGTCAGTGTAACAGGCTGACATGGTTTGTTGCTTGTTATATCAGTCACCGATTTATCACAGCCAGTAAATAACCACGCACATGCAGTCATTAAGAAGAGCTACTGCTCAAAACACCACCATATTTGTATGCGCTGTCACTTTCGCTGTCGTTGTGTTCAGGCACAATCGACAGTCTCTCTTTTCTCCAAAAGGTGTATGAATGTTCATGTAAGAAAAGGGGCGGTGAGGTAGCCTAGTGGTTAAAGCATTCGCTTGTCAAGCCGAAGACCCGGGTTCGATTCCCGAAATGGGTACAATGTGTGAAGCTCATTTCTGGTGTCCCCCGCCATGATATTGCTGAATATTGCTAAAAGCTGTGTAAAACCATACTCACTTACTTCTTAATCATGTCAGCAATTAATGCGACATGTCCACCAAATATGACACTTCCTGGCACAAGAAAACTTGATAATATGTACAGATTCTGTTTCGTAATTGGGACTGGCTGCAGTACCAGATGTATAATCTGCACCGATCTGTTACAGCGGGTCCCCAGAGTGAACTCTATATGGCAGAACGACGGTGCTCAACTCCTTTCTAGTGTAGATATATCTGTTGCCGTGGCAACTGACAATGGACTTATTACTCCAATTGTTCAAAATGCATCGGCTCTTGGAGTAGACGAAATATCATCTACAGTCAGGGTAGGTTTGATCATACACAAGTCACAGTTTAGCTTAGTATTCCTAATCCATGGGAGGGCGGTCGGGTAGCCTAGTGGTTAAAGCGTTCGCACGTCACGCCGAAGACCCGGGTTCGATTCCCGACATGGGTACAATGTGTGAAGCCCATTTCTGGTGTCCCCCGCCGTGATATTGCTGGAATATTGCTAAAAGCGGCATAAAACCATACTCACTAACTAATCCATGGGAATATATTTCGTTATTTTTGCCATTTTACACAATTAGCATTTCAAAAGTTTGATGTCAGATAAAAAAAAAATACTTTATTCTTTAGAGACACCCCTGAACCCATGAAGATTTGGGTTAGAATTGGTCTTCACCAATCCATGCTCGTCGAAGAAAGCGACTATGCTCTTTGAAAGAGGCGACTAACGGGATCAGGTGGTCAGGCTCGCTGACTTGGTTGATGCATGTCATCGTATTCCAATTGTGTAGATCAATACTTATGATATCAATCACAGGATTGTCTGGTCTAGACTAGATAATTTATGGACCGCCGTCATATAGCTGAAATATTGTTGAGTGCTGCGTTAAACAACAAAAACGGACACCCAGGCTTATGTTTAGTTTCTTTCCCTCGTATACTAAAGTGCATTAGTAATAAACTACAGGGGAGAGAACTCTTCCATGTCTTAATGCATGTTAATCAGATTTTAGGACATCTTCCTTTACTGTTCAAGCTGACCAAAGTGCCAGGTTACCAGTCTTTTCTTTGTTTTTCTTGTCAGGATTTAGCAGGTCGGGCGCGAGAAGGGAAGCTCAAATTACATGAATTCCAAGGTGGAAGTTTCAGGTGAGAGTCTGATACAGTTTGATGGGTTTTGAGGAATCTAACTGAGGCTCATATTTGCTTGTCGTCGCAAAATAGAAAAAAACATATATCTAGTCAGCTGTAGAAACTTAAACTTAAAATTAAATCTCCCATAGTTTGCTTCTTGTAATTATTGTTTAGTTCATGGTGGAGAACGTGTTTACTTACAATCAAAAGTTTTTATCGTGTCAGTAAGAAGATGCCGCAAGTAAGTGAGGAATTTCTGTAATAATGAGCTTCAGTTTTGTTTTAAATTGTATTTTGTAAAAAAGTAGATTTTGTTATGATTCCCTCCCTGTAAGCTGAAACACATTTTAAGATGAGTGGTACCGGTAGGACTCCCACAAGAATGAATAAACACCCTGTATATTTTTAAAGAGATGACTCATTCTACAAAATTGAAATATATAAGGTCTTAGGAGCTTAACAGTTTAAGAGATTGTATACAACACTTGATATGGTGCGGTGATATATTCTCGTCTACTTTCATGCGTATCCTCTTTCTCAGCAGGGGTAGTGGGGTAGACAAGTGGTTAAAGCGCTCGTCACGCCGAAGACCTGGGTTTAATTCTTCACATGGGTACAATGTGCGAAGCCCATTTCTGGTGTCAGCTGCTGTGATATTGCTGGAATATTGCTTAAAGCAGTGTAAAAGAATACTCACTCACTCACCTTTCTCAGCATGGTATGCCTCTGTTGATGGGGCTGTTGGTAGCCTTCTGGATAAATTGTTCATCTGTCTGACAGTACAATGTGTATAGTCCTGGTGTCTCCTGATAGAACTTGAATATTGCCAAAGCGGCATAAAACCTCACTCACTCTTTTGTTTGCAGCATCTCCAACCTTGGAATGTTTGGAATCAGCGAATTCTCGGCCGTCATTAATCCGCCTCAGACAGCCATCATGGCGGTGGGCACGTCCCGCGTCACACTAGGCGACGACGGGCGGCCGCAGACCCGCATGACGGTGACCCTATCTTATGACTCTCGTGTGTTAGATGAAACCGAGGCATCCCAGTTTCTGGAAGTGTATAGTGAGGTGATGGAAAACCCCAGCTTTATGATCACTGGATCCAAATTATCCGGCAAGGTCCGAGCTAGTTTTTGACAAAGCAATCTCAAGGACATCATGTTATGGAAAGGGCTCAACTGGAAAGAGATTGTTGTGGTTACCGGTGCACTGTTCCAAGCGAGCCCACTAAGGTGATGGAATATTCTGTCCAGAGGAGGAGGCTTCAGCCAGATACAACAACATCCTCTCAGGGATCCATAGATGAAGAGTTAGAATACCTGTGTAAGGGTACATGTAGGCATAGGATGCATTGCATTAATGCACCATCTGTTCCATCTGTGTGCATACATAAATATGTGTGCATCAAATGCAGAGCAGATCCAGGATTTACAAAAGGGGTGTCCATAATTTCATCATCATTTACTACATGATTTAGACAGCTGCTGTCAATCTGTCAATTGTCGGCTTTAAACATCAAATTTTCGTGGCCCAACACATACCAAATCAAGACCAATAATACAGCGGGATTAGGACTCCTGGTCATCTGCTAGAGAATTTATCATACGTTGATGAGTAGTTTTGCCCTGCATTTACAGCTGGAAGAGAGTGGGACTGGAGAGTGGGACAGGAGAGTGGGACAATGTCTGAGAGGGACTGGGCAGCAGAGACTGGGCAGGAGAGACATCTTCCATCTGAGGTCTTATTGTTACTACCATTTTGAAATTCGAGAGATGTGCAAAAAAGTGCTATAGGTTGTTTTCTGTTTTATTGTTGTGAATGTTAGTGGGAGAAATACCCCGAGATGTATGGGTAAGCATATTTGTTGAAACTGGTGGAGTTCTATATAAAACAATTTTACACTCCTCGGAAACTGGTTGCATTTATTGGAAATTAATGTTTATGTATTTCAAAACACATGATTATCTAAAACTTAACATGTATGCAACTGAATATGTTTATATTTATCAACGTAACTAGATATCTCTCAATGAATATGTCTGTCTTTATCAGGTTTCTTCTTGTGAATGTTTCAAGGAACACAAGTAGATAATACAATCGCCTTTATCATGCCTCTTTCGATCATTTTAGTTTTACAGGTTGGGCATACTTCTTGAGTTTGTCCTTTTATTCAAGCATTCTCTACAAGTCGAAGAGTTTGAACATGCAGAGCGTATTTCTAGTTATTCTGATGAAGTATAGTTGAACTAAGGAACTGTTCACCTTTTGTTCAGATTTGTGGCAACAATTCTTTGAAAAGTGATGGTATTTCTCCATGTTTCCTACGCACTGTAACCAATGTGGTCCTCCTGGATACACTGTAACCTGGAGAGTAGAGGTGTGAAATAAAGGTATGTTGTGTATGTGAGTAACGTGCCTTCATGTATATATATGAATGAATGAGTGAGTGAGATTGGCTTAGCACTGCTTTGTACAGTATTTCAGTTGTATCAAGGTGTGTCAACTTGGTGAGGGCCAGAATATATTTACCACTTCGGTTAAACCCCCAATCATTGGTATTTGTGCTGACAAACATAGAAACATTACCATAGGGCATCCAACTGACGATCACCCGCGAAAGGGACGCAACTCTTCACAACGAATTGCGGCACCTCAGACGAGTGTGCAACCCCCAGATTTATGTGGAATACGTAAAACTTTATCAAGTTTAACATCGTGGGAATTCCGGGGAAGAATATGTTTCCAGTCTATAATTAATTTCGTAAAAGCCGATCCAGTGGTCATTGTCGTGGCTTGGCAGCTTCCTGGGACTTTGAACATTGTAACCTCAGAATTTCCAAGGCGCGGCTCCATTGTGAACAGATTAGCTTGAACTTTGCTGACCCAGGTAAATAATAAAAAGATAAACCATTATACGTATCTTATAAGGAATTGATAGTATTCATACCTAGGTTGGTTGAAACCTATGATTATGGGTTCGAATCCCGATTCGCCCCCATTATGTTTCTAGGTTTGTCAGCACCATACCCGTTCTCTTGGGTTTCACGGCACTGGTAAACGTCTAAGACCTGCATCACTTCGGGCTTTCCTCCCACATTAAGCTGACACGCCGCAATATAACTGGAATACTGTTAAAAGCGGAGTTAAACCCAACTCACTCACTCACTCATACCAAGGATGAGGTCAACACGAAATTGTAAATCTAGGTGCGAAGCTTACCTCCAATTCTATGTTCTAATGATTATATTATGTAGGCTGATTTGTTAAAATAACGTTTCGAGAGGTTCTCGAACCAAAACGACTTCGAGTTATTGGCGATTTCAGTTTAATGCTGCTTTGTGTGAGGAAAGCCCGAAGTGATGCAGGTCTTTGAGCTTCATCACTTTGGTGACATGGACGATAACGTCTATGTTGATAACAAATCGGAAAACCTAGTTCGAACCCACGATCATATGGTTCTTGCAAGCACAGGGGACATAACTCTCCATAGCGAATTGCGTCGCCTAGACGACTGGGCCGACCCTGTTCCAAATATATTATTAGACCCAAAGGTAAATACAAGAAAGATAGAAATAAACTTTAATTATGATTTGTGTATTCCAAACGTTCACACACCATTCTGCTATTTATACCAATATATACAATGACTTTCCTCTTCGTCACAAGATAAAACATTAACCTCCACATATATTCAACATTTTAACTTGAACGCACGCACTACCATCACAACCCAACAACACATTCTTGATTTATTACACAACATTTATACTTGCTGACTCGTCTCAGAAAATGTTCTCATTAAAAGAAAAGCGTTTGGGTATGAAGATATCCTCCGTCGTATCCAACTCTGCATTGTGTCTGGTTTGTTTGGAACTCGGCAATGTTCCAGTTGTATGACGGTGGCCTGTAAATCATCGAGTCTGGACTAGACAATCAAGTGATTGATATTACGACAACGATCCACGCCAGAAATGGGCTTCACACATTGTACCCATGTCGGGAATCGAACCCGGGTCTTCGGCGTGACGAGCGAACGCTTTAATCACTTGGATACCCGACCGCCTCTCACTTCGTCAGAACTGGCATGGCCCATAGTGCTGAACAAAGGCAACCCCAGCTAGGGTGTCTCTAAAATATGCTCACGTAACTACTATAAGTTTTTTCACCATGGCGGCTGTATTGAAAACTGTCCCCAAAATTCTTTTCTGCATATTTAAGAATTTGCGATATGCAGTAAGTATGTTGTATCACGGTACATTTATTGCGGATTTTGACAACGGGCACAGCTTCAAACTTTGTCCCACATTTAGCCATGTACTCAACAAGTTGTTCATGTATCAATATGCATTTTAGTATTTATATGCAGTGTTGATACTCCTGGGAACTTGTTTACCTTTTAGATTTTGGAATAATCCTGGTGAGCTACAGAACCTTGTGTATCTATTTGACTAGTTACAGACCTCCTCCGTGGTCTTGTGGTAGAGCGTCCGCCCGGAGAGCGGAAGGTCCGGTGATGTCATTCACTGGACTGTCTGGTCCTGACTCGATTATTTGCAGAGCGCCGTCATACAGTTGGAATATTGCTCAGTGCGGCATTAAACAACAAATAAACGCTTACGCAATGCAAGGGCTTGCTGACAATAACCGTCTATGCGTCGTGGTTATACCACAAACAGGAATGGCTCAAAACGAAATTGCCAGACATTTTAGAGTTCACTAAAACACAATATCATCTCTTAGGAGAATGTTTTCTTGTTACCTCGATTATAATTTTGTAATTTCAATTATTTTCTCGTTACTTGGATTTTTTCTCGTTGTTTCGATTATTTTCTCGTTATTTCAAGTTTATGTAAGAAACTCGAAATTTCGATTTTGTTCTCGTTACTTCGATAATTTCTCGTTATTTCAACAAAGTAAAACGTCGCTATATAAGTGCAATAATCTTGGACGCGACGTTAAACCCCATTTCACATCACCTCACCTCAACAAAGAAACATATCCAATATAACCCATGCAAGTCTATAATATTTGGCAAGTCTAGATTACTTCAGTATCTGAAACTGAAGAAATGGGCTCCTTTTTAAAATTATATATTTTATAACTATAATATAACGACTGTTTTTCTTCTGTAAAATAGTTCATTTCAAAGACTAGTTGTTCGTCTATAAAGCGGTGGACAGAAGAGAGAGCCTTGAAGACAACCCGCGTCCTGGAAGGCCTGTGACGTCAACAGCACCAGAAATGATCCTCAGAATCCGCGATATGGTGATGACCAACGGGTGAAAGACTGAGCGTCATAATATCAGTTCAGTTAGCCTACGCCATCTTCCCGAGGCCAGGGTGAAGTGAAATTGGGTTTAACGTCGCGTCCAAGATTATTCCTCTTATATAGCGACGTGCATGTACGTGTGTGTGTTTGTGTAGCTGCTTGTACTAGTCCGGACTGATGCCGATTTATAGTGCTAGCTAACTGAGATACCATGCCGCAGTTTAACATGAATACCCCACTCAGACACAATATACTGACTCCGAGTCCTTTTTTAGCCCCTTAATGCCGAGCGCCAGACAGGGTAACAACAAGTACCATCTTTTAACGTCTTTTGGAATGACGCGGCCGGGGATCGAACCCCGAACCCTTCCGCTCTCCGGGTGGACGCTCTACCACTAGACCACGGAGGCTGTCCCGAGGCAAGGGAGTTAACTTACAACATGTATACAAGTGGAAACTTCGGGAAGATGGCATTGGCCAGGAGAGAACGTATTCCATTGTCACTGAAACTTTGGCAACGAATGAAGAAAGTTTTAGGTCGTTGGGTTCCAAGGCTTTCGACTCGAACGATGAGGTGAGGTGAAATGGGGTTTAACGTCGCGTCCAAGATTATTGCACTTATATAACGACGTGTATGTACGTGTGTGTGTTTGTGTAGCTGCTTGTACTAGTCCGGACTGATGCCGATTTATAGTGCTAGCCCACTGAGATACCATGCCGCAGTTTAACATGAATACCCCACTCAGACACAGTATACTGACTCCGAGCCGACCAGTCCTTGTTTTAGCCCCTTAATGCCGAGCGCCAGACAGGGTAACAACAAGTACCATCTTTTAACGTCTTTTGGAATGACGCGGCTGGGGATCAAACCCCGGACCCTTCCGCTCTCCGGGCGAACGCTCTACCTCGAACGTGGAAGGTCATAGCAGCTGATGAGAACATTTCGGACAGCCAGGAGAAGGACTTCTACAAAACTTGGATAAAATCCCTCCATCATCGTTTGCAAAAGTGTATCAATGTGGAGGGGGATTATGTTGAAAATAACCATTTTGATGTGTTAAAGTCAAGTCGGTCTATGCGAGGCGCAGAACGTATCAATTAACCCTAGTATATATAATAAAAAACTTGTTTTCACTTCATCCTGAATATATGTTTACATTGTTCTAAAGCGTTTTTACTCGTGTTTTGGGAAGCTGAAAACTGGTCCATTGTTTCAGCTGGCCCCTGTGACGGTGTTGTAGGCGGTATGTGACACTGCCTGCTGAGTTACGGGCGGTATCTGGGAGATGGGATTGTTATTACGTTGGGAAGACATACACAATACACATTACTGTAGAGATCAGTATTCGGGATATGTGGTTGTTTAACATCAGCACCAATACGCACATTGTTCATTTACTTCATGACAACGGAGGCGTGGTCGTGTCATGGAGTACTGGCCATTAAAGTGAAGGGTGTGAGGAGGGGCGTGTAGAGGGATATATGGGGATGGTAGGATGGAAAGGGATTACGGTGGAGGATATATCAGGATGATTTAATCTATTTGTAGGGTATATGATGACGAGATGATAGATCGGGAAGATATTTGAATGAGGGAGTAAGTTGGGTTTAACGCCGCTTTTAACAGTATTCCAGTTATAGCACGTCGTGTCAGCCTAATGTGGGAGGATTATTTGTGAATATGTTGAAAAGGATATGCTGCAATGCGTGAATGATTATATTTGTGAATATGTTGAAAAAGATATGCTGCGAGGCATGAATGGTTATATTTGTGAATATGTTGAAAAGGATTTGCTGCGAGGCGTGAATGGTTATATTTGTGAATATGTTGAAAAAGATATGCTGCGAGGCGTGAATGGTTATATTTGTGAATATGTTGAAAAGGATATGCTGCGAGGCGTGAATGGTTATATTTGTGAATATGTTGAAAAGGATATGCTGCGAGGCGTGAATGGTTATATTTGTGAATATGTTGAAAAGGATATGGTTGGTTGGTCAGTTGGTTTGTTGTTTAACGCCGCAATCAGCAATATTCCAGTTATATGACGGCGATCTGTAAATAATCGAGTCTGGACAGGATAATCCAGTGACTGACTTCACGAGCAATCTATCGATCTACGCAATTGGGATACGATGAC